CGCCCTTTCCTTGGGTCACTCGTCCGCCCGGACCTGCGTGGGCTGCGGGGGGCTACATCAGCATCCCAGATTGGACCGTAGAAGAGGACTGGCTCACAGAAACCCCAGGAGGTCCGGATCCTGGTGTGATCTGGGTCACCAGAGCCCCTCAGGATGAGAGGCATTTGCATAAATCAGCTCAGACCCCTCTGACCCATGAGACCCAGAAGGCTGAAGATGACTTGAGGAAGTGGGGCATCAGATCTCAGTCAGAAGTTCAGCTACCCACCACCCCGGACCCGGTTTTATCCACAACCGAGTCCTGGACCACATCAGACTGGAACAAAGAGGAGGAGGAGGCTACCACCCCTTTTCCTCTGGGTTCCTCATCTACAGTCTCTGGGGGGGCTTGGAACGGGTGGTCCAGGCCGGTCACTTCTCCTCAGCGTTCAGAAGATTCTGGAATCACCCACAACAACGCTCCTACAGAGGCAGACCTGCGGAGACAAGCTGGAGAAAAGCATCTGCAGAGCGACTTCCCACAGGAGGGGTCTGACAAGAAGAACGTTTCCGTGGAGACGACTCCCACCCCTGCTGTCCCCACCCAGCCTGCCTCCTCCCCTCAGCCCCCTGTAGGACGGAGTCGGGGACCTGGAGAAAACCTGGATCCTGTCCAGACTGATCAGGAGCAGGATCACAGCAGCTTGGGGCTCCTGTTGGGCCTGCTGGTGCCCACCTGCATCTTCCTAGTGGTGATGGTGGCTCTGGGTGTCGTCTACTGCACCCGTGGTGCCGCTCAGCCCAGAAACCAGACCATCAGTGAGTGCTACCACTGGATCTCTGGAGCTCACCATAAACAGGGCGGTTCTGACCCATCAGCAGGGGTCAAGTCTGTTTGAACCATAGTTACCCTGACCTGAAGGTTCAGCAGGACAAAACTGGAGATGGTGGCGTGACTCTCTGAGCGTAGGACACAGAGAAGCGATCTGAGTCTGAGGAGCACACGCTCACTAACAGATGTTTTGCTACTCCCTTCAGCTTCTCACACACGGTATCTCCATTAGAAACCTGGAATTAAGTGTTGTATTCCTCCTGAGGGGAAGGACCTGCACTAACAGCTCTGTTGTTCTGGATAAACGTGTCACGGGAAGTTATCAGGCTTATTTACACGGTTTCAGATGTTCAGTCAGACTCTAAATGTAAACTATTCACTCATAAATGGACGTGCTGAGCAAACATCTACTCGTACCATTATAGCTGCTCCTGTAGTGGCTAAAAGCAGCAGCTGCTGTTTGTCTTCCAGCTGTAATAAATCAGAAGGTGTGTCTGGTCCAGAGCCCGTCTCCGATGAAGTGTGTGTGATGTTACGTTTGCCGCTGTTCATCTCCAGCTCTGCTTTCAGGCCTCCTTTTGTTTTTCTCTGCAGTAAAATTTTATGGTTGGAATAAAACACTCTCCTGGTTCATCAGCCTCCTCTCTCTCTCGCACACACACACGCGCGCGCACACACACACACACGAGCACACACACAGACACAAACACACGCACGCACACACACACACACACACACAAGCATGCGCGTGCACACACACACACACACACAGACACACACGCACGCACACACACGCACGCACGCACACACACAGACACACACACACGCACGCACACACACACACACACTCACACGCACGCACACACGCACAGACACGCACGCACGCACACGCACACACACATGCACACACACACAGACACACGCACACACACAGACACACATGCAGACACGCACACACGCAGACACACACACACACATGCACACACACACAGACACACGCACACACACAGACACACATGCAGACACGCACACACGCAGACACACACACACACATGCACACACACACAGACACACGCACACACACAGACACACATGCACACACACACACACACACACACAGACACACATGTACACACACACACACACACACATGCACACACACACAGACACACGCACACACACAGACACACATGCAGACACGCACACACGCAGACACACACACACACACAGACACACATGCACACACACACACAGACACACATGCAGACACGCACACACACACAGACACACGCACACACACACAGACACACATGCACACACACACACACACACACACACACACACACACACAGACACACATGTACACACACACACACACACACATGCACACACACACAGACACACGCAGACACACACACACACATGCACACACACACACAGACACACACAGACACACATGCACACACAGACACACGCACACACACACAGACACACATGCACACACACACACACACACACACACACACACACACACACACACAGACACACATGTACACACACACACACACACACATGCACACACACACAGACACACGCAGACACACACACACACATGCACACACACACACACACAGACACACGCACACACAAAGACACACATGCAGACACACGCACACACACAGACACACACGCACGCACACACACGCACGCACGCACACACACAGACACACACACGCACACACACACACACACACACTCACACGCACGCACACACGCACAGACACGCACACACGCACACACACATGCACACACACACAGACACACATGCAGACACGCACACACGCAGACACACACACACACATGCACACACACACAGACACACGCACACACACAGACACACATGCACACACACACACACATGTACACACACACACACACACACACACACACACAGACACACATACACACACACACAGACACACGCAGACACACACACACACATGCACACACACACACAGACACACGCACACACAAAGACACACATGCAGACACACGCACACACACAGACACACACGCAGACACACACACAAACACACGCACACACAGACACACACGCAGACACGCACGCACACAGACACACGCACACACACACGCACACACACAGACACATGCACACACACAGACACACGCACACACACACGCACACACACAGACACATGCACACACACAGACACACGCACGCACACAGACACACGCACACACACACGCACACACACAGACACATGCACGCACACAGACACACGCACACACACGCACACACACAGACAAACACACGCACACACAGACACACACGCAGACACACACACACACACACAAGGTTTGGGTATTTTATGAACGCTACTTTCACAATACGCTATTGCAAACACCCTAACAATGTCTAAAGTGTGTTTCTGGGTCATTGATGTCTTACCTGCTGTAGGAGGCTTCCTGAACAGCCTCTGTTCAAAGAAATAGTTTACATCCATCAGGATTGATGAGCTAAAGGCTAGTCCGAGAGCAGCTGGGACCAAAGGTGGTTCCTCTGTCTGCAAACATTTCTGATCTCCCTGATGTCCTAGTGGTTCTTGTGAGATTTATGTTAATCATCAGTGATCAGAACGCCTTACTGAACTTGACCCAGGATGAGGAAGTCTACGTGCTGCTGATGAGCATCTTCATACTGGTAGAAAAACACACACACACACACACACACACACACACACACACACACACACACAGTTTATGTGCTTGTTAAAACAAAGGCTCCATTAGAGCGCCACCTACTGTCTGTGAACTCGTCCCAGATCGACCACGAGCACACTTCAGATGCTTTCTGACACAAAGCATTCCTGTCAACAGGAAGTTGATAGAACACCTTGAGAGATCTCCTGATCTGACCCAGAGTCAGTCCTACAGCAGAGCCCCACCTCCTTTCCTTTGATAGTGACCCTTTGCACCGACGTCACCTAACCACGTGGGTCCACCATGGTGGACGGCAAAAGCATGTAAACAGTGAGCGACACGAGTACTAAACAAAGGGAAAAGTAGAGCCTGAAATTGTGTTTGTGATCAAAACAAAAACAAAACTCCTCTAGCATTCCTTCCACTAGTTCATGCCCAGTTCAGTTATCAGAAGTAGCGCATCTAGCGGGGGCTCATAGAGAGCGGTATGCTAACTAGCTTACCAACGTTAGCTTACGTTCTCTGCAGCTCTTCACCGATGTAAACATGTTGCTGACTTTGCCTAAATTCACCCCTCTGGATTTATAACTATGTTATAAACAGCGTTTCACTTTACACCAAAGCTGATTGTTAAAAGTCCGGATCCCTACCAGCTTCTGTTGCTGGTGGTGTTACCGGGTCCAGCTGCTGCTGCTCTCACACCGGAATGAGAAGATCTCTGAACGCCGACGCTCATATAAATAAATAACGTTATTTTAACACACGTGATCGTACATCGGAGCTTTAATATTGTTAATAATTGTCTCGCTTTACACTACAGTGTACGGAGCGCAGCCTCCGTGGTGAAATACCCGTCCATCAGGATGATCAATAACTAGTATAAACACATCACATTTATCCCTGTCCCTGTCTTCCTCATGAAATAAATGAACGTTAATCTTACCCGGTAAAAACATGCTCGCTGCTAATCTGAGGGCTGCTAGTCCGCTTGATTGATCGCTGCAGTTCATCTCCGTCCTCAGTCTCCATCAAAGTTATTAAAAAACAAAACGAGTTGAGTTTACATCCTTGTCTGTTAGTGCAGCCGACCACGCAGCAAGCTAAACCCATTTTACTGTCAAATCAACTCAATAAAAGTGATAAAAGGCTACAAACTGGCTTGTTTTGACTAGCTTCACTGGAGTTTCTACGGGTGTAAATGGTCTTTTTGCCGTCCATCATGGCGAAGGCGGCGGTCACATGGGTGGCGTGATGTCACGTAAAACGGGTCAATAGAGCTGGCTTTGGGTTTTCTGTCTGTCTGCATACTGATGTCCACCAGTCTAGAAATAAAACAGATCTGGCTATCTGACAGACGGCTTGTGCACCCCCCTGCTGTCTGCTGTTGGTGGAACAAGTTCACACGCTGCTGGTTTGAATTTGGTCCTGGTCCTGTGGGCAGGACAAAGAGGAGAGGGGTGACAGAAAACATTTGAAGAACTTGGACCCGGTCCTGAAGGGGCAGGAAAGAGAAGATCAGTCAACTGTGGAAACAGCAACACAAACCCTAACTCTCATCAGAACTCTGGCAGCAGCATTCTGGATCAGCTGGAGAACCTGTAGATGGTCATAATTGACAAGTGTGGAAGTAATAAATTCTCTACCACTTTGGGTCGGGTTGATTCTACATTAGCAGGATTGTTCAGGTGAAATAAGGCCGTCTATGAGAGTTAAAGGACCCATCCTGGTTCAGAAGAACACCAAGGGTCCTCACATTACTACTGGAGGACACATCGAGTGACTTAGAAGCTCACCTTGTTCCAAAGGAGCTCAGGTCCAAAACATACAACCGCTGACTGGTCCGAGTTTAGCAAATATGACATTTTATTAAGACTTTATTCTTGTAGGCTGATTAACTGGTCAGGCTTTGTGAGAATACCTGAGGCAGTGTCTTGATCATCAGGGGTAAAACATGTAGGACAGCAGTCCTGTAGACCAGTGACATCTCACAAGGATGAGACCTAGAGAGAGAATCCTCCTGATCCAGCTGAGCCACATCTGGAGCCACTCCAGTTTCCCAAACTGAACTGGTTAGACCCATAGGTCCAAACACTGTTGTCTCTCACTTACTATTGTTTTTGGTGAATGTATTAGCATAAATCGATTTAGCAAAATGTCTATGAGCACTTCCTGTAGTCCTTCAAAATAAACCATACCACTTAAAATGAGCGTTAGTTAGTCTAAAAATGGGAACGCCAGAACATCTTCACTTATACAAAATACGTAACTACTAAAACTCAGTAATTAACATTAGACTTAATTATCCGTGTTCAACTAGATTAAATCAACGAGCTACAGCTAGAGCTATTAGCAGCTAGCTACAAAACAGACAATCATTTTTAAGCTTTATTAAGTAAGATAAGGAACTAAATATTCTCTAAAATTGTAGCCTAGTGAACTAGACCAAATTCTTGCTTTGCAAAGAATGGTCTAGGCATGCTCCATTGGAACCTCCACAGCTCCTACCAGGACTCTGGCTAGCCAATCACAGCTCTCTAGAGGGGTTTCAAACACATAAAGAGCTGTGATTGGTCCATAATGGTGGGCCAATCATAGTGCTCTATCTGCTTAGTGAACAAATCACAGAGCTTTATCCGCTTTGTGGGCCAATCAGGGCACTCTATATGCCTGGTGGGTGGGATGATGCAACAGAGTGAAACAAGAGTATGTCACATTCATTGTCCAGTGGAATGCGGAGATCATTTGAAAGACAACGGTAGAACCCGCCCCACAACCGAGAGCCGTCAATGGAGCGTGGCCAGACTAAATAATACATTTATTTAGTCTGGCTTGCCAGGCTACTAAAATTGTCTATTTGAACAAAAATGTAGTACCTACTTTCAGACGAGGGAGGACAGCAACTCCCCATCTTCTTTTCTAAATACTGTTGGAAACCATTGTTGTTTGGTTTTCTTGCCAGCAGAAGGTGCAAATTCCCCATTCTTCCAAGGCAATAAAACACGTTAGGAAGTGTTTCTACAACGTAAGACTTTTAACTTTATGCATCCAGTTCCTTCTTCTTATTCTAGTACTTAATATTATTATTCCAAAAAGGACAAAAATAAAGATTAAGATTATTTTAAAGCTTCATTAATATAAGGAGGCTAAAGTATTTTCTTCTAAATGGCTAAAAAGTACAAAAGTGTAGTACCCACAGACATGTATACCGGTATGTCTGTCTGTGCTAGTACCCACAGACATGTATATGTCTGTCTATGGTAGTACACATAGACATATATATGTCTGTACTACTATAGTGTAGTACACATAGACGTATATATGTCTGTACTACTATAGTAGAGTACACATAGACATATATATGTCTGTATTACTATAGTATAGTACACATAGACATATATATGTCTGTACTACTATAGTATAGTACACATAGACATATATATGTCTGTACTACTATAGTGTAGTACACATAGACGTATATATGTCTGTACTACTATAGTAGAGTACACATAGACATATATATGTCTGTACTACTATAGTATAGTACACATAGACATATATATGTCTGTACTACTATAGTGTAGTACACATAGACGTATATATGTCTGTACTACTATAGTAGAGTACACATAGACATATATATGTCTGTATTACTATAGTATAGTACACATAGACATATATATGTCTGTACTACTATAGTATAGTACACATAGACATATATATGTCTGTACTACTATAGTATAGTACACATAGACATATATATGTCTGTACTACTATAGTGTAGTACACATAGACGTATATATGTCTGTACTACTATAGTAGAGTACACATAGACGTATATATGTCTGTACTACTATAGTATAGTACACATAGACATATATATGTCTGTACTACTATAGTGTAGTACACATAGACGTATATATGTCTGTACTACTATAGTAGAGTACACATAGACATATATATGTCTGTATTACTATAGTATAGTACACATAGACATATATATGTCTGTACTACTATAGTATAGTACACATAGACATATATATGTCTGTACTACTATAGTATAGTACACATAGACATATATATGTCTGTACTACTATAGTATAGTACACATAGACATATATATGTCTGTACCACTATAGTATAGTAATACAGACATATATATGTCTGTATTACTATAGTATAGTACACATAGACATATATATGTCTGTACTACTATAGTATAGTACACATAGACATATATATGTCTGTACTACTATAGTATAGTACACATAGACATATATATGTCTGTACTACTATAGTATAGTACACATAGACATATATATGTCTGTACTACTATAGTATAGTACACATAGACATATATATGTCTGTACTACTATAGTATAGTACACATAGACATATATATGTCTGTACTACTATAGTATAGTACACATAGACATATATATGTCTGTACTACTATAGTATAGTACACATAGACATATATATGTCTGTACTACTATAGTATAGTACACATAGACATATATATGTCTGTACTACTATAGTATAGTACACATAGACATATATATGTCTGTACTACTATAGTAGACATACATGTCTGTGGCAGTACCAGCCACTCCCCATCTTCTCCTCTGAAAAACCGGTGTTGTGCTACCTATTTGTGGCCAGCAGAGGGCGCAAATACTCCTTCTTTCAAGGAAAAAGGTGTTTGGACGAAAGAGCAGGGGTCAGCACAGGCATTTCCTCTAAAGAGCACAAGTCAACAATAAACAAAACAAAATTAATTACTACGCGCTTTACTACAGGCAGTGTTCATGATGCGAAACAAGACAAAACGCTGGGTTTGACTGACCGTAGTTTTATTTTGAAGGCAGAAACCGGAAGTCCTTTGCATGAAACTTCCGGCGCCAAAAGTTTCTCCTTAGGAATTCCTCAAAATTTTCCCTGTTTTCTCCTGCGTTGGGACGAGGCTCGGCGTCCAAGTCCTCAACCGCCGAAGAGATAAAACGAAGCAGATGAGAGTTCGGACCGACAGCTGAACGGTTCTTCTGAACAGAACCGCGACTGGTTTTGGGACTAAAGAGTCAAAACTTCCAGATGAAAGAGTCGCAGCGGAGCTAACTTGGCTCATCACGTAACTTCGGCCGTTAGGTCCGCTGGGAGCAGCGGCGACTTCTCCGTGAGTCCTTAAGCTAGTCCTCTAGAACAGGGTCGCCACCCTGGTGCCCCCACGAGCATAAATAAGACACGTCTGCTACCATTTGAATCGCAAATGCAATGATATGGATTAAAAAAATGTGTTTATCATGCATGAAGTTGAGTTTAACTCTGAGCTATTCCAGTTCAAAGGTCACTGTTGTGTCAACCTCCTCCCTCCATAGCACCATGAAGTAGCTCAGCTTCACAAAGGTCGACTCTAGAGGCCAGCGGTGGCCTCAGATCGCTGCTGCAGCTCTCAGGGACAACCCAACCCGAAGCAGTGACGTACGGGGACAGTGGCGTACCACAGAGCTCCGTCAGAGGGCTCCCAGAGTTATGACGTCATTTATTATTAAGTCATTCTGTTACGACACACACCAGAGTGCACTGGCATTAACACCGTAGTCACCAGCCTTTACCCTTAACCAGCTTCTGCCAGTTGGATTCTGGGTTTTCTGAGCATTTATACTCGTGTTTATTTAAGGATTACTCTAGAATAGTTCCTCTTTGTGCCTCTGAAGCACCAGCTGAACTAAGAAGAGTCGGACGCACCACAGAACTCAACATAGAAGAACAAACATCTCAGTTTCTGAAACATCCTGATGCATCTCAGCTCAGATTGGGCGGGTCCACTCTGAGGATAGCACACCTGCAACACGAGCTCAAAGGGTCACATTTATGTTCTTGTTGTTTGTAAACCGCGTGATGCGTTTCCTGTTTCAGATGGAGGGAGAGAAGGAACAGCAGAGGGAGGAGAAGGAGAGTAACGAGGCAGAAGACGACACGAAGAGTGATGATGAAGAGGAGGAGGATGGAAACACTGAGAGGGACATGCTGGTCTGGCAGGAAGGCTGTGACAAGGACAATCTGGGCCTTCCCATCATGCACTGGGAGGCTCTGAGCCTGCACATCGCTGAGCTGGAGAAGCAGGAAGAGGAGAAGAAGGCAAAGGTCAGAGGTCAAACTGAACTCATTAATGCTCTCTTATATTTTATAAATAATATTATTGCAACTTAGAGTCTAGAGTGACCCGATCCCAGGCAGGACAGGACCAGAGCCGGGGGGTGTTGGTGACACGTATCATAGGGGGGGTTCTAGAGAACACCAGCTGTTCTGGGATTGTCCAGAACTCACAGATTGGTGGGACATTCCAGGACCACGGGACCGTTGCCGACCTTGCCGGACAAGAGGTCAACTGGTGGAAAACCAAAGAGTCCACCTCTAGAAATGAAAGGTAAAGGTGTTCCAGTGTCAGATCACATCCTCCAAATCTGTTGAAGTTAAATTCTAAAACCAGGCTGGAACCCACCAGAGAACTTGTTGACGAGCTGATCGCTCCTGGGAGGTTGTCCTCTGAACTAGGGTTGTCACGGTGTGAAAATGTAACCTCACGCTTATTGTGACCAACATTACCACGGTTTTCGGTATTATCGCGGTATTTTTTTTTTATGTGTTACCTTTTCAGACAATTAAATAAACCCTGTATGTCAGGAAAATATTGTCCTCAGTTTGTGTCTAAATTTTGCCTAAAATGTGTTATTTTTAATTATGTTGTTTATTTGTTTACATGTTTCCCCTTTAGTCTTTAAAATACCAATATTTGCCCATAACTTCTTATTTTTTGTCGGTGTGATGTCATCATTTTAAAAATATTAGATCAGGTGATACTCAGTACTCAAGTAGCCTTCTAATCAGATACTTTTTTACCCATACTTGGGTAAATATCATCCTCGGTTTGTGTCCTTCCAGTGAGCTTTGCAGATGTGGGAAAATGTCATCAGGCAGTAATCGTTGTTAAATTCATAATTATTCTCGGAGAGAGACCAACTCTTATCTGCCCCTGGGAGCCCCGTAATGCATAGCGTCATTTCAACATGGCGGTGTCCGCGACACGGTTTATATGCAGGTAGCGGCGCTGCGGCTGCTTTATATAGCGACTCGTTGCATTCTCCCTCAACCCAAATCCTCGGATCACGCATTTTAGCTAAAACGCTAACGTTAGCTTGCCTTGCGTTGACTGTAGAGTTGTGGGTGATGGTCACGCAGATGTGTCATGAGATTTGAAGCGTTGCTGCCTTTCACAGACACTTTTTCTGCACGTGCTGCAAACAGGATAGCCGTCTTCTATCAACTGTCCCTCGGCATTCTTCAAATATCCAAAATATGCCCGTACTTCCCACTTTGTCTTCTTTGAGGGATAATAAATGTCCTGAGTGCTGCCGTCTCCTCCGTTGGCCATTATTTCAGCTTTAGCTTAAAGAAAGTTTTGGTTGTAAACAACAAAGTGCGCATGTGCCGCCGGCAACTTCAGCAGATGATACGGTGGCTGGTAAGGGTCACCGCGCCTACACCGCAGCCACGGTAACCCACCGAGATAATGTAGTTTTTTTAAAAACAAGACGGTTATTATTATTGTCAACTGGTTTACCGCTACACCGGTTACCGTGACAACCCTACTCTGGACCAAAGAGACACAGCTGGAGCTGTTTGATGACTCACATCAGCTCTAAGAACACTGGACCTGCTGTGGGACATGGAAGAGGCTTGGTTCTGGTCTAGACTGGGCCACAGAGTCTTCAGTCTTTTCAGGGTCCAATAAAATCTCAAGACCTTCTGGATCCAGATGTGCTCAGGGTCAGAAAGCTTCAGGATGTCCTCCAGCTGGATGATGAACATCAACACACGGCTAAAAACAACAAGAATGGATCAGAACCAAACGTTAAACAGATCTGAATTGGTCTGCTATGAGCCCTGATCCTGAAGACCATCTGCAGAAGGAGCTGAAACATCTGTTGAAGGAACCTTTCAGACCTGAACAGGAAGCAGAAAAGTCCAGAATGTGTGGTAGTCCATTTGGACCACAGTTATGGTAGATCCATGGACCCAAGAGCCTGATTTGGTCTTCACCAGCAGGTCTACCATGTCATATGAGGAGAAACAAGACCCACCCAGCAGCCTCTCAGCCGAGTCAAGTAAGAGGAACATTAAGCCTGGAAGCAGACCCAGATCAGACTCTCGATGACATCACAGTGGCTAACTTTCTTCAAGAATCCATCCAAATGCAAACAAACCATCCTGATGCAGCTTCCATTGGGTCGGGGTGTCACATAAACCTTTAGGCTGTTCAGAACGTTAACCTGGTTTTCTACCATCACTGACCCCAGCAGGCTGAACCTCAAGGCTACTCTGTTCTCCAGGCTGGTGCCCTTGGAGAGCGGGTCAGAACCCCGCTGAGCTGGACGGAGGACAAGAGGACCAGAGCAGAGAGCTGGGAGGATGGCAGCGATGCCTGCAACAGCCACGTGCTAGCGCTCACCAGCCGGTACTATTAGATTATCACAGGAGTAGTGTGTGTGTGTGTGTGTGTGTGTGTGTGTGTGTGTGTGTGTGTGTGTGTGTGTGTGTGTGTACTAACAAAACTAATATGTAAAAATATGTTTTTAAAACGAGGAGCTAATGTAGTCAGATAGTAAATTTAATTTGTTTATTCTTGATCTTTTATTTTGTAAAGCTACTTTGTGTGTTTGAGACTTTTCATTTGAGGGGCTTTTAACTCCACGTTTTTTCATTCTGAACTAAATGTTTCATAAAGCCTAACAGAAGAGACTTAGAGGTGTCGGACACCGCCATGTTGTAATCAGGCCTCCGTAGCTAGAGGACAGGAGGATGACTCTACTGGGGTGAGCCCTGGTGCTGGACCACACACTGATGATCTGAACTGTGTCCCAGCCTACAGACGCAGATGAACCTGCAGCTCTGCTTCATCAACAACAGTGAGAGTGAAGAGGAAGACGAAGAGGAAAAGAAAGGAGATGCCTGCAGCTCCTGGGTAACTATTTAGATGTGGGATGTTGGTTAAAGTCGCTGCTCATTTCCCATTCTGCTCGTCTCTGACAGAAAGGAATGGATCGTATCCATGACAACACCCAGCATGCTGCCAAGCCAGAGACTTCAAAGTCCAGAAGCTTCAGGAGCGCTCTGAGAAAGCTCAGAGAACGTCTGAGGACAGATCACAAAACCCCAGTAAGACCCTAACCCAGACCAGTACCCTGATCCTCAGAGACCAGTACCCTGATCCTCACAGACCAGTACCCTAACCTCACAGACCAGTACCCTAACCTCACAGACCAGTACCCTGAACCTCACAGACCAGTACCCTGATCTTCACAGACCAGTACCCTGAACCTCACAGACCAGTACCCTGAACCTCACAGACCAGTACCCTAACCTCACAGACCAGTACTCTGAACCTCACAGACCAGTACCCTAACCTCTCAGACCAGTACCCTAACCTCTCAGACCAGTACCCTAACCTCACAGACCAGTACCCTAACCTCACAGACCAGTACCCTGAACCTCAGACCAGTACCCTAACCTCACAGACCAGTACCCTGAACCTCAGACCAGTACCCTAACCTCTCAGACCAGTACCCTGATCTCACAGACCAGTACCCTGATCTCACAGACCAGTACCCTGATCTCACAGACCAGTACCCTGATCTCACAGACCAGTACCCTGATTCTCACAGACCAGTACCCTGATTCTCACAGACCAGTACCCTGATCCTCACAGACCAGTACCCTAACCTCACAGACCAGTACCCTAACCTCACAGACCAGTACCCTAACCTCACAGACCAGTACCCTGAACCTCACAGAACAGTACCCTAATCTCACAGACCAGTACCCTGAACCTCACAGACCAGTACCCTGATCTTCACAGACCAGTACCCTGAACCTCACAGACCAGTACCCTAACCTCACAGACCAGTACCCTGAACCTCACAGACCAGTACCCTAACCTCACAGACCAGTACCCTAACCTCACAGACCAGTACCCTGAACCTCACAGACCAGTACCCTGAACCTCACAGACCAGTACCCTGAACCTCACAGACCAGTATCCTGAACCTCACAGACCAGTACCCTAACCTCACAGACCAGTACCCTAACCTCACAGACCAGTACCCTAACCTCACAGACCAGTACCCTGAACCTCAGACCAGTACCCTAACCTCTCAGACCAGTACCCTAACCTCACAGACCAGTACCCTAACCTCACAGACCAGTACCCTAACCTCACAGACCAGTACCTTGAACCCCAGACCAGTACCCTAACCTCTCAGACCAGTACCCTAACCTCACAGACCAGTACCCTAACCTCACAGACCAGTACCCTAACCTCACAGACCAGTACCCTGAACCTCAGACCAGTACCCTAACCTCACAGACCAGTACCCTGAACCTCAGACCAGTACCCTAACCTCTCAGACCAGTACCCTGATCTCACAGACCAGTACCCTGATTCTCACAGACCAGTACCCTAACCTCACAGACCAGTACACTGATCTCACAGACCAGTACCCTGATTCTCACAGACCAGTACCCTGATCCTCACAGACCAGTACCCTAACCTCACAGACCAGTACCCTAACCTCACAGACCAGTACCCTAACCTCACAGACCAGTACCCTGAACCTCAGACCAGTACCCTGAACCTCAGACCAGTACCCTAACCTCACAGACCAGTACCCTGAACCTCAGACCAGTACCCTAACCTCTCAGACCAGTACCCTGATCTCACAGACCAGTACCCTGATTCTCACAGACCAGTACCCTAACCTCACAGACCAGTACACTGATCTCACAGACCAGTACCCTGATTCTCACAGACCAGTACCCTGATCCTCTCAGACCAGTACCCTAACCTCACAGACCAGTACCCTAACCTCACAGACCAGTACCCTAACCTCACAGACCAGTTCCCTAACCTCACAGACCAGTACCCTGAACCTCAGACCAGTACCCTGAACCTCAGACCAGTACCCTAACCTCACAGACCAGTACCCTGAACCTCAGACCAGTACCCTAACCTCTCAGACCAGTACCCTGATCTCACAGACCAGTACCCTGATTCTCACAGACCAGTACCCTAACCTCACAGACCAGTACACTGATCTCACAGACCAGTACCCTGATCCTCACAGACCAGTACCCTAACCTCACAGACCAGTACCCTAACCGCTCAGACCAGTACCCTGATCTCACAGACTAGTACCCTGATCTCACAGACCAGTACCCTAACCTCACAGACCAGTACCCTAATCTCACAGACCAGTACCCTGATGTCACAGACCAGTACCCTGATCTCACAGACCAGTACCCTGATCTCACAGACCAGTACCCTAACCTCACAGACCAGTACCCTAACCTCACAGACCAGTACCCTAACCTCACAGACCAGTACCCTAATCTCACAGACCAGTACCCTGATGTCACAGACCAGTACCCTAATCTCACAGACCAGTACCCTGATCTCACAGACCAGTACCCTAACCTCACAGACCAGTACCCTAACCTCACAGACCAGTACACTGATCTCACAGACCAGTACCCTGATTCTCACAGACCAGTACCCTGATCCTCACAGACCAGTACCCTAACCTCACAGACCAGTACCCTAACCTCTCAGACCAGTACCCTGATTTCACAGACCAGTACCCTGATCTCACAGACCAGTACCCTAACCTCACAGACCAGTACCCTAATCTCACAGACCAGTACCCTGATCTCACAGACCAGTACCCTAACCTCACAGACCAGTACCCTAACCTCACAGACCAGTACACTGATCTCACAGACCAGTACCCTGATTCTCACAGACCAGTACCCTGATCCTCACAGACCAGTACCCTAACCTCACAGACCAGTACCCTAACCTCTCAGACCAGTACCCTGAGCTCACAGACTAGTACCCTGATCTCACAGACCAGTACCCTAACCTCACAGACCAGTACCCTAATCTCACAGACCAGTACCCTGATGTCACAGACCAGTACCCTGATCTCACAGACCAGTACCCTAACCTCACAGACCAGTACCCTAACCTCACAGACCAGTACCCTAATCTCACAGACCAGTACCCTGATGTCACAGACCAGTACCCTAATCTCACAGACCAGTACCCTGATCTCACAGACCAGTACCCTAACCTCACAGACCAGTACCCTAACCTCACAGACCAGTACACTGATCTCACAGACCAGTACCCTGATTCTCACAGACCAGTACCCTGATCCTCACAGACCAGTACCCTAACCTCACAGACCAGTACCCTAACCTCTCAGACCAGTACCCTGATCTCACAGACCAGTACCCTGATCTCACAGACCAGTACCCTAACCTCACAGACCAGTACCCTGAACCTCAGACCAGTACCCTGAACCTCAGACCAGTACCCTAACCTCTCAGACCAGTACCCTGATCTCACAGACCAGTACCCTGATTCTCACAGACCAGTACCCTAACCTCACAGACCAGTACACTGATCTCACAGACCAGTACCCTGATTCTCACAGACCAGTACCCTGATCCTCTCAGACCAGTACCCTAACCTCACAGACCAGTACCCTAACCTCACAGACCAGTACCCTAACCTCACAGACCAGTACCCTGAACCTCAGACCAGTACCCTGAACCTCAGACCAGTACCCTAACCTCACAGACCAGTACCCTGAACCTCAGACCAGTACCCTAACCTCTCAGACCAGTACCCTGATCTCACAGACCAGTACCCTGATCTCACAGACCAGTACCCTGATTCTCACAGACCAGTACCCTAACCTCACAGACCAGTACACTGATCTCACAGACCAGTACCCTGATTCTCACAGACCAGTACCCTGATCCTCACAGACCAGTACCCTAACCTCACAGACCAGTACCCTAACCTCTCAGACCAGTACCCTGATCTCACAGACCAGTACCCTGATCTCACAGACCAGTACCCTAACCTCACAGACCAGTACCCTAACCTCACAGACCAGTACCCTGATGTCACAGACGAGTACCCTGATGTCACAGACCAGTACCCTGATGTCACAGACCAGTACCCTGATCTCACAGACCAGTACCCTGATCTCACAGACCTGTACCCTAACCTCACAGACCAGTACCCTGAACCTCACAGACCAGTACCCTGAACCTCACAGACCAGTACCCTGAACCTCACAGACCAGTACCCTGATCTCACAGACCAGTACCCTAACCTCACAGACCAGTACCCTAACCTCACAGACCAGTACCCTGATCTCACAGACCAGTACCCTGACCTCACAGACCAGTACCCTAACCTCACAGACCAGTACCCTGATCTCACAGACCAGTACCCTGATCTCACAGACCAGTACCCTGATCTCACAGACCAGTACCCTAACCTCACAGACCAGTACCCTAACCTAACAGACCAGTACCCTAACCTCACAGACCAGTACCCTGAACCTCACAGACCAGTACCCTAATCTCACAGACCAGTACCCTGATCTCACAGACCAGTACCCTAACCTCACAGACCAGTACCCTAACCTCACAGACCAGTACCCTGAACCTCACAGAACAGTACCCTAATCTCACAGACCAGTACCCTGAACCTCACAGACCAGTACCCTGATCTTCACAGACCAGTACCCTGAACCTCACAGACCAGTACCCTAACCTCACAGACCAGTACCCTGAACCTCACAGACCAGTACCCTAACCTCACAGACCAGTACCCTAACCTCACAGACCAGTACCCTGAACCTCACAGACCAGTACCCTGAACCTCACAGACCAGTACCCTGAACCTCACAGACCAGTATCCTGAACCTCACAGACCAGTACCCTAACCTCACAGACCAGTACCCTAACCTCACAGACCAGTACCCTAACCTCACAGACCAGTACCCTGAACCTCAGACCAGTACCCTAACCTCTCAGACCAGTACCCTAACCTCACAGACCAGTACCCTAACCTCACAGACCAGTACCCTAACCTCACAGACCAGTACCTTGAACCCCAGACCAGTACCCTAACCTCTCAGACCAGTACCCTAACCTCACAGACCAGTACCCTAACCTCACAGACCAGTACCCTAACCTCACAGACCAGTACCCTGAACCTCAGACCAGTACCCTAACCTCACAGACCAGTACCCTGAACCTCAGACCAGTACCCTAACCTCTCAGACCAGTACCCTGATCTCACAGACCAGTACCCTGATTCTCACAGACCAGTACCCTAACCTCACAGACCAGTACACTGATCTCACAGACCAGTACCCTGATTCTCACAGACCAGTACCCTGATCCTCACAGACCAGTACCCTAACCTCACAGACCAGTACCCTAACCTCACAGACCAGTACCCTAACCTCACAGACCAGTACCCTGAACCTCAGACCAGTACCCTGAACCTCAGACCAGTACCCTAACCTCACAGACCAGTACCCTGAACCTCAGACCAGTACCCTAACCTCTCAGACCAGTACCCTGATCTCACAGACCAGTACCCTGATTCTCACAGACCAGTACCCTAACCTCACAGACCAGTACACTGATCTCACAGACCAGTACCCTGATTCTCACAGACCAGTACCCTGATCCTCTCAGACCAGTACCCTAACCTCACAGACCAGTACCCTAACCTCACAGACCAGTACCCTAACCTCACAGACCAGTTCCCTAACCTCACAGACCAGTACCCTGAACCTCAGACCAGTACCCTGAACCTCAGACCAGTACCCTAACCTCACAGACCAGTACCCTGAACCTCAGACCAGTACCCTAACCTCTCAGACCAGTACCCTGATCTCACAGACCAGTACCCTGATTCTCACAGACCAGTACCCTAACCTCACAGACCAGTACACTGATCTCACAGACCAGTACCCTGATCCTCACAGACCAGTACCCTAACCTCACAGACCAGTACCCTAACCTCTCAGACCAGTACCCTGATCTCACAGACTAGTACCCTGATCTCACAGACCAGTACCCTAACCTCACAGACCAGTACCCTAATCTCACAGACCAGTACCCTGATGTCACAGACCAGTACCCTGATCTCACAGACCAGTACCCTGATCTCACAGACCAGTACCCTAACCTCACAGACCAGTACCCTAACCTCACAGACCAGTACCCTAACCTCACAGACCAGTACCCTAATCTCACAGACCAGTACCCTGATGTCACAGACCAGTACCCTAATCTCACAGACCAGTACCCTGATCTCACAGACCAGTACCCTAACCTCACAGACCAGTACCCTAACCTCACAGACCAGTACACTGATCTCACAGACCAGTACCCTGATTCTCACAGACCAGTACCCTGATCCTCACAGACCAGTACCCTAACCTCACAGACCAGTACCCTAACCTCTCAGACCAGTACCCTGATTTCACAGACCAGTACCCTGATCTCACAGACCAGTACCCTAACCTCACAGACCAGTACCCTAATCTCACAGACCAGTACCCTGATCTCACAGACCAGTACCCTAACCTCACAGACCAGTACCCTAACCTCACAGACCAGTACACTGATCTCACAGACCAGTACCCTGATTCTCACAGACCAGTACCCTGATCCTCACAGACCAGTACCCTAACCTCACAGACCAGTACCCTAACCTCTCAGACCAGTACCCTGAGCTCACAGACTAGTACCCTGATCTCACAGACCAGTACCCTAACCTCACAGACCAGTACCCTAATCTCACAGACCAGTACCCTGATGTCACAGACCAGTACCCTGATCTCACAGACCAGTACCCTAACCTCACAGACCAGTACCCTAACCTCACAGACCACTACCCTAATCTCACAGACCAGTACCCTGATGTCACAGACCAGTACCCTAATCTCACAGACCAGTACCCTGATCTCACAGACCAGTACCCTAACCTCACAGACCAGTACCCTAACCTCACAGACCAGTACACTGATCTCACAGACCAGTACCCTGATTCTCACAGACCAGTACCCTGATCCTCACAGACCAGTACCCTAACCTCACAGACCAGTACCCTAACCTCTCAGACCAGTACCCTGATCTCACAGACCAGTACCCTGATCTCACAGACCAGTACCCTAACCTCACAGACCAGTACCCTGAACCTCAGACCAGTACCCTGAACCTCAGACCAGTACCCTAACCTCTCAGACCAGTACCCTGATCTCACAGACCAGTACCCTGATTCTCACAGACCAGTACCCTAACCTCACAGACCAGTACACTGATCTCACAGACCAGTACCCTGATTCTCACAGACCAGTACCCTGATCCTCTCAGACCAGTACCCTAACCTCACAGACCAGTACCCTAACCTCACAGACCAGTACCCTAACCTCACAGACCAGTACCCTGAACCTCAGACCAGTACCCTGAACCTCAGACCAGTACCCTAACCTCACAGACCAGTACCCTGAACCTCAGACCAGTACCCTAACCTCTCAGACCAGTACCCTGATCTCACAGACCAGTACCCTGATCTCACAGACCAGTACCCTGATTCTCACAGACCAGTACCCTAACCTCACAGACCAGTACACTGATCTCACAGACCAGTACCCTGATTCTCACAGACCAGTACCCTGATCCTCACAGACCAGTACCCTAACCTCACAGACCAGTACCCTAACCTCTCAGACCAGTACCCTGATCTCACAGACCAGTACCCTGATCTCACAGACCAGTACCCTAACCTCACAGACCAGTACCCTAACCTCACAGACCAGTACCCTGATGTCACAGACGAGTACCCTGATGTCACAGACCAGTACCCTGATGTCACAGACCAGTACCCTGATCTCACAGACCAGTACCCTGATCTCACAGACCTGTACCCTAACCTCACAGACCAGTACCCTGAAGCTCACAGACCAGTACCCTGAACCTCACAGACCAGTACCCTGAACCTCACAGACCAGTACCCTGATCTCACAGACCAGTACCCTAACCTCACAGACCAGTACCCTAACCTCACAGACCAGTACCCTGATCTCACAGACCAGTACCCTGACCTCACAGACCAGTACCCTAACCTCACAGACCAGTACCCTAACCTCACAGACCAGTACCCTAACCTCACAGACCAGTACCCTGAACCTCAGACCAGTACCCTAACCTCTCAGACCAGTACCCTGATCTCACAGACCAGTACCCTGATTCTCACAGACCAGTACCCTAACCTCACAGACCAGTACACTGATCTCACAGACCAGTACCCTGATTCTCACAGACCAGTACCCTGATCCTCACAGACCAGTACCCTAACCTCACAGACCAGTACCCTAACCTCTCAGACCAGTACCCTGATCTCACAGACCAGTACCCTAACCTCACAGACCAGTACCCTGATCTCACAGACCAGTACCCTGATCTCACAGACCAGTACCCTGATCTCACAGACCAGTACCCTAACCTCACAGACCAGTACCCTAACCTCACAGACCAGTACCCTAACCTCACAGACCAGTACCCTGAACCTCACAGACCAGTACCCTAATCTCACAGACCAGTACCCTGATCTCACAGACCAGTACCCTAACCTCACAGACCAGTACCCTAACCTCACAGACCAGTACCCTGATCTCACAGACCAGTACCCTAACCTCACAGACCAGTACCCTAACCTCACAGACCAGTACCCTAACCTCACAGACCAGTACCCTGATCTCACAGACCAGTACCCTAACCTCACAGACCAGTACCCTAACCTCACAGACCAGTACCCTGACAGGAAGATGAACACATCAGACTGTCTTAGATTAGACCAGCTGGGTTCTCCTGACAAATGTTTGATCTGTGTTCCCTACAACAGACAGGAAGCCCAGTTAGTGCACACATACACACGTACACACACATGCACACACACACGTGCGCACACACACACACACACACACACACACACACACACTACAAATAAATCCGAGCACCTTGTGAACATGTCCCTGCTGTCCACAACAGTCCTTTATGCTTTTAACAGTTTAGTGTTTTTACTGCAGACGTGTGTGTTTCTCAGCTGTTACGTGTGTCCTAGCAACCTCGTGATCAGTAGTTAGAGGTCGTAGGTCACAGGAGGTGGATTCTCTGTTGGGATTCAAATCCATCAGGTTTATTTAGCATAGTTTAAGATGGAGCAGGGAGGGTTGTGTGCAGCGTTAACCAGGGACATGTCTTTAGTTTCAGGTTCAGGACCATCCACATTCATAGGGGAAGCCCTACCATCTGGTCCTGAGAGAAGTCTGATTTAGGAACTGGTGCTAGCTAGTTGTTTGGAGTAGTGAGGGATAAGGCGGGTTTGTAAAACCATCCCCCTGCTGTCCTCAGACTGCTGCTGATACAGAGCTGCTAGTCCAGAGGAAACATCTGGAGCGGTGCGACTTACAGAAGTCCAGTGTGAAGGACCTGAAAGCTCTTTGTTCCTCCCTCAGCAAGGACGTCCAAGGTACTCCATTACTTTATGCTTGGCTCAGATCTCTCTGTGAAGCCCTGCCTGCTTTAACGAAGTCTCCTTTTATTGTTTACTAAGACAATGAGATGTTTTACCAGAGACCCGTTGTTGGGATTAGTGAGGAGCTGCTCCAGCATCAGCCTGTTAAGCGCTTTAAGCTACGCCTTCTTCTGTCATGTGTCTGTCAGAGCGGAGCTCTGAGCTGGTGAGACGCCTCCACGTTCGAGACCAGCTGAGGACGGAGCAGGATGCTATGCTGTTGGAGGTGCAGGATCTGATGTCCCTGTGAGGTTTCCAGTCCTCCCACCGCCTCCAGCTGAGCGTCACTTGTCAACCATCACAATCAGTCCCAGGTCAACTTTTAGCAAGCAGAGTGATAACAGCTAGCAACGTTAGCTAACCCCCCACTCTGTAGTTTACTACCCGAACTACAAACATGGTAGGCAGGTCCGTCTGAAACATTTTTACTGAAGACATTCCTCCTCGCCAGATTTACCGTCCTGCAGATCTGCGTTATTGTTTACAACTGTTGTGTTTTTGAGTTTTGGGTTTGTTCTTTTTGTTTTTTTCTTTCAATATTTGTAAAGCAATCATGAAATAAAACACTCGGATTTTTAATCTGGGAAAACTACCATCAGCGTTTGGTGTGACTCGGAGAGATTTAGTGGGCCTGACCTGGGCCGGTCAGCTGAGAGTTGAGGATGACACGCGCTGAGGTGCAGCGGGAGGGACTGGGTCGCCATGGAAACGGCTCAGACTGCCCATGAGGTGAAGCCAAAGTGTCCAACAGACTGAATGATCCGGCTGCTGTTTGCTGACTGTGTGAATGAGCGGTGGAGCTGATGATCGGCTCTCTCAAGCTTCAGGAATTCTGTTCTGGCCCGGAGTTCTCGAACCAGGACTTGTTTGGAGTCGAGTCGTCTCTGGCGCTGGTAAGTCGTGTTTTTCACAGCAGATTGTAGTGATGCAGGTATTTATGAGTCTGGCGGAGAGCCCAGTCGGCCATTTTAGTTTCAGAATATTCACCAAAGCAGTAAAAAGAGCTGGTTTCTAATTTTGAGTGAAGTTGTTTAGTTGAGCAGAAACCAATGCATAAATCAAGCTGTGTGTGTGTGTGTGTGTGTGTGTGTGTGTGTGCTTCAGTGGGTTGGTTTAACCTGAATCCCTCTGTAGAGACATGTATCACCTGTAGGTCAACAGGGTCTGCGGGATTCAGTGAAACTGGATCAACATGTGGGAGGTCTACCCCAGAAGACAGGGACTTGATTTGCTCTTAACATCTAAGAACAAGGTGAACCGTTGGGTGGTCATCTAGTCAGACGCAGATCTGATGAAGGGAGCTGGCTTCCTCATCTGAGTGAAGAGACGTTGACCGTGGTAGCAGGGGCGGTTCTAGGCCAAATTTTCCAGGGGGGCCACAGTGGGGCCAGTGTTTTTTCATGGGGACGCAAGAAAAAAAGGGAAAAATTAGGGCAATATCAAAATTATTTTTTGTTGTCGCCATATGACTAATTTTGTGCTTGTGCACAATTTTGCCAAAGGAAATTCATTGATGTCAGGAAAATAAACTGTATTGCTTACCTTCGTCTCTTGAGCCCTTTTCAGACAGACATTCTGGAACATTTGCGGACAATTCAATCCGGTTTTTAACCGGAACTGTAGTTTTCAGACACACCACTTTTGTACCGGAACTTGTCCTTTCGGCTGCGTTCACACAGCAGGGAAAAGTTCCAGATGTCTGACGGCGGCAGGGGGTGGGGTGGGGTGTAGGATCGGACTTATGTTAAGAAGAAGAAGAAGAAAATATCATTTCTATAGCGCCTCTCAAGATAAAAATCACGAGGCGCTTAAGCATAATTCTGCGCACACGAAGACGCATAAGAGGCCTGGATGATGAAGCTCAATGGTTAAAGGAATCACTGAAGCGGTGTGAAGCGCTCCGTCGCGTGTCTAGGCGGTACCGTAGGAGGCGAGCTGCCGTGGTTCGCCGCATGCTACAGCAGCGGGCTATCTAGGTGCGCACAGCGTCCCCCGGTCCCCTCCTCCTCCCCCTCCCCATTGTCCGGAACTCTACCTCACCAGTCTGAAGCAGCCACCCTGTCCGTAACAAGTCCGGACCTGTTACTAGGGGCTTCGTCCGGTAAAATTCCGGAACACGTTATCCGGATGTTTGTATTCAGACACAAAGGTCTGACGGACAGAGTCCGGAACGTTTCCGTTTTTCATGGCCTGTCTGAAGGGGGCTTTAGCGTTTTTCCGTTAGTCATCCTCAAGAATTTTTCTGGTCCCATTTAAACTATTTTTAATCTTTTATTAAAAAATCCACCGGGAAAACAGTTCTGCCCACAGAGTGTGCTGCGCTCTAAAGGCTCCGTGTGAAACACTGCAGCGCATTAGTTCCCGTCTCCGAGGCAGTGCGGGGAAAAAAAATCCAATCTCTTCAGCACAGGGACCATAACGGGCCAGGGCTGGTTCTAGAGGGGCCCAGGCCCCTGTGGGCCCCTGTTTAAAACCGCCAATGCTTGGTAGCTCTCACCCACAGCTGTGAGATGTTTCTCCTGAATGAAGAAGGTCAGGAATCAGACGGTTTGAATGAATGAATGAATGAATAGATTAATAATCATACAGAGGGTGAATAGGATGAATAAAATGAAAAAGTGAGTTTTTAAAAAACAAAACTGCACAAAATGTTTAGCATGAATGCACTGATGTGCTGCCAGACTAGAGTTGTATGGGCTGAAGCAGCAGTTTTCCTTCGTGGAGGATTTCATCTGCCGCTGAAGGAGCTGTCCAGGGCCTCCACAGTAGGTGAGAGGGTTTCCTTCATCCAGCAGCTCCAGGAGGCTTAGGGCAGGATTCACTCCGTCCCTCAGCTGGAGAACGCCAAGTTAGCTGGAAACCAGTGGAGAGGAACATTAGACCTGCTGTCAGAGGTAGAACGTGCCTCTGTGGGTGGCTGATTTAACACACTGCTGACCCGAGACCTGCCTGCAGTTCTACCTGCATCATTACTCAGAGGACCCCAAACCAAGGTTTAGGAGAAAGGATGGAGACTTTGGCCTAAAAATAGTAACACTGTTTTCAGTGGAAGGGACTCTCAGCCTCTATCGCTACATTTATAAACCGTTGTTGTGTTCGCTGATGAGCTGTAGCCGCCATCTTGGATGAGGTTCAACCAGGTCCTGGGTTTCACCAAGAGTTTAGGAGAAATGTTACACACACACACACACACACACACACACACACACGCACACACACACACAGCTAGTGATATTTGCTCTATGGGTCTGAACCCAGGCCTGCACCTGAGGAGGTGTGGTTACTGATTGCTGACTTAATGAAGTGAAAAGGGACTGAATCAGCAGGAAGTCAAACAAACACCAGGATCAGCAGCAGGAGCAGGTCAGACGGGTCAAAGACAGACAGATATTTGTCCCTGTTGGCTGGAACTAGTAATTATTTCCGTAAAAGGTTAAACAGAATTGATGACCATGGATGTTGAGGAGAGTGATCCCTATACCCAGAACACACTGTGCCCCCCTTTTGATAATGGGGGCCACCAACCCAGCCTGCCCCTCAACAGGCTCCACCCCTGATGTCCACGCCAGCCAAGACAGCCCTACAACATCCATGAGGTACCCGGGATGAGCTTAATCAACACTGAAGACGTAGATGTTGGACTGCCTCAGAGATTTCTGTGCCAGTTTGATGGAGCCAACCCTAGGCCCCCCCCCCCCCCCCAGCTCCAGCTCTGCCCAGGAAAAAATAGGAATACGTTTCACTGGAATTTAGGAGTTCCTCAAAGTATTTTTCCACCATCCATGCCCAGGTGACTTTTGCAGCTCCTTACACTTTAAACAGTAGGAGCAAGTTGATGACACCCCCCCCCCCCCCCCCCCCCCTCCGGATGGTTAGTCAGAATTCCTCCGGTGCATGTACCCCTGGTGCAATATGCCTTCCTGCAGATTAAACAGCGTCTCTAGCAATAACCCTGTGTGTTTGTTTCCAGGTGAAAGCATCAATGGACAATGTCGACTGAAGTCGAGGCAACATTGGTGAAGGTGGCAGAACCTAATCCTGCTGGAACCCCATAAGCTGCTGCCCTGTTCAGGCTCGCCTGTGGTGGAAACAACTCCAAGCCTCAGCATGCTGTTCAAACGCAGAAATCCTCCAAATGTTACAGGAGCCATACTCCATCACACTCTTAGCTCCTTTACCCCCTCCTCTTCTCCTCCAACGTCCTCCTGCAACATTGATGAGTCCTACAAGTACATCTTCCTCCCACTCTGTTACTCGTTTACGTTCATTTTTAGCATCACCCTGAACGCTGTGGTTCTGTACCGCTCCTTCCGGCAGACCAAGCGCTGGAACGCCTCCCTGATCTACATGGTCAACCTGGCTTCCACCGACTTCATGTATGGCCTGTCCTTGCCCTTTCTTGTGGCCAGTTACATAATGCGTGATCGCTGGGTTTTTGGGGACTTCATGTGCCGCCTGGTCCGCTTTCTTTTCTACTTCAACCTCTACTGCTCCATCTTCTTCCTCACTTGCATCTCAGTCCACAGATATCTTGGTATCTGCCACCCCATGAAAGTAATCACCTTGGAGACCAAGAAAGCTGTCAAGTGCACCTGTGTCCTGGTCTGGATTGTGGTGTTTGCTTTGACCTGCCCTATTTTTCGGTTTGCTCAGACCGGTCATGTTACCAGGTTAGCAGGCCTGAGGAGCAACAGAAGCCCAACTGCTGAGAACACAAGCCATGACATAGCCTCAGGAAGCAGCAATGGCAGCTACAGGGATTTGGGACAGCTCAATGAGGAGTACCAGAACTGTTGGGATGATGCCATTGATAAGGAATTTTTGGATTATGTACCATATGGAATTACACTGCATTTATTGGGCTTTTTTATACCCTTCTCCATAATTGGTTGGTGCTACTCTCATGTCGTTCTGACCATATTTAGGACTTTGCATTCCCAACCATCATCCCGCGCAGGTCAAAGAAATGCAGGCAATGAGGAATTGAAGACAAGAGGCAGGAATGTCTCAGTCCTAACTGGAAGGGGAAGTAATGGACTGTTGAGGACGGTGGGGAAGGATGAAGAGACATCCGTGTTCTTTGGTGCTCGCTCTCCATATGCCAGTCGCAGGCGGAAATCCATTAAGACCATCATCACAATCACCCTGCTCTTTGCCCTGTGTTTCTTTCCCTTCCACGTGACAAGAACCATCTTCCTTCTGTTGAAAGTGACCAAGAGAGTCCCCTGCCAGACCATAATGACGGTGTCAATGTGTTACAAAATTACAAGGCCCTTGGCTTCATTCAACGCATGGCTTAACGCTCTTCTGTACTTCCTGACCAAAGACAAAGTGGGAGCCCGCTGCTGCCAAGTCGTGAACACCCCCTCCCAACAGCACGATGGGGTCCTGATGCCCCTGAGGATGATGGGTAAAGCAGAAGATCCAAGCGGGGGAGGCGTCGAGGACCAGATCAATCAGAAAGACAATCGGAGGTTTCACAACCCATCGAAACCGAAGGTTACCGACACAGCTGAATGACAAAACCAGAGCTCTTATTTGGAATCTCGGTGACGGGGTCGTATGGATAAGCGCTTGTTGTTGGGACCTCTGAGCTGTGACCGTTGCTGATGTTCCACAAAAGACATTCCAGGGAGATTTTTTTCACGAGTCTCAGGACCTCGCTGGATTTTTTGAACATGCGTGAAACATTCACGAGGCAAATTTCTTGTCAGTTTGTTAATGATGCACCTGGAGCTCTTCTGGAGCCCCGGTCAGTTAGAAAGTGAAGAACCATGAGTCTACTTTGGGAGGAGTTGGAGACAAATACACACAGAAGCTGATAAGTTGGTTTTGTTTAATGTCCCAAAGGTTTGTCACAAAGTGTTAGTCGTTCCACCCAAAACCAGTCCCCCATGGTTGCAGTCCAGTGAGATACTGGCTCTGGTCTGCTTGTTCTTCCTTGCTGGAGCGAATCCAGACTCTATCTCCATGGCTTACTAAACAAGAGCAAATAAATACAGCAGTGAAGTACACCAGCTATTAGAACCTTAACCTTTACCAGTGTAATGAATTAGATTATGTGTTATTTAATAAGCCATAAGGCGTAGGATTCCATAGGAAATATGAAATCCACCTTACAGATCTGTGAGTTATTTAAACCAGAAGATTGGATCTTTTTATTGCAGGGATTAGATAACCGCTTCGTATTCACTCAGAGACAACAGAAGAGAGAGTCAAGCTTAAAAGTTAAGAATTTTATTACTAACAAATTAAACTAGACTGACTTTAAAACTAAATGTATGGTGTAACTAAAATGGATGAGACGGTGAATGGATGACGTGTGATGTTAATCAGAACCAGCAAATCCGAAGAAGTGGTTAGTTCTGACGGGAACTGAAGGTGATGTCTTCGCATTAAGCTTTGGTTAGGAGGTCCATAAACACATGAGACACCATTTGCCGGTCTGCCTACCCTTCAGGAAGTCCTCTTTAGATCAGGAATGTCGAGGTCCAGCTTGACCCTTTCTGGAACCGAAGCCGGTAGGAAAAGCAGCGGTTCCGATCAGACCCGCCTTTGAGATACTTCCGGGTACACGACAGATTCTTGGCGTCTGGTGAGACCTGAGCCTGGGTCTGGATGGTTCAGCTTTTGTTCTGAAAGGAACCGTTGCAGCGGTTGGAATAACAACAATTTTTTCTTTTCAGCTTGTCGTTGTTCTTTCAGTTGAAGAGTTGAGATCAGGATTGGCCACTCCGTCACTTTCTCTGGAACGCTTTGAACTGGCGTTAGAGCTGACGTGGGCATAGTTTTATACTTCGGATGTTATGGTTTATTGTCGAATGAAAAATTACCAAACACCATCAAAACCACGCCTCTGTCAGATCTGGCAGATTCTGATTGGATCAGTGAAAGTAATGTGTCATTTCTTTTTAATGCTACGTGAAATGAGTCCTGTTGGAACATTTAAAGTCATATTATTATATTCTATAGGATCATAATAAAGTAATTAATATTTTGATTTCACAGATCGGTCACATCTTATTTATTGACTAACACTTTGATGGATTAGCTTTATTAACAGAGTTGTTTGATTAATTAAAAGAAAAGAGTCCATTCTGCGTTCTTCTGTTGAGCTGAAAATAAGCAGGTTAGAAGGAATGCATGAGACCTTGAGACCATATCTCATGCAGACTAGTCTTGAGCAAAGGAGGGGAAAAACAGTCATTCCGTTCCGTTACATCATACAAGTCCTCTCAAGAAAACAGCTTTATATCTTAGAACCAAATTGGAATGAAAATAAAACATTTTGATTTTACACAATGTGTCCTGTCATGTTTTAGTGCAGAACTACTGGATTCAGGCAGTCTGAGCTCATCTGTGAACTTTATCATCACCAGGGTTTGAGTGAGACCTCTGGGGATGCAACAGGATGCAGCGTTAGGGTTCGAGAACTTCTGGTGTCTCGGGTAGCGGCGGCAGGTGTAACGTTTGAGTAAAGATAAAGCTGTCAATGTTACACACACACACACGAAACATACTATTTATATGTAGACCCTCCATCAAATGGTGTCTTGTTCCACTAGCCTATCTCAGGAGAACATCCTGGTACCTGATGTAGACCTTTGCCACCTTAACTGTCTTGCTCACATTTCACCACGGTCGTTGTTGGTTTGAAGCGGAACTGAATCCCGTCCGTTCCAGCGTCAGAGGGAAGTAGCAGTTTACCAACCTCCAGCCGGGTAAATCCCTGGGAATGTGAAAGATGACTCTGAAGGGCGACACATGTCCCCACTAGCATGGAGACATCATCAGTCACCACAGACATAACTAATGTGTGTCCAAATGATGATTTAGTGTAGTGAAATGTGAGAGTTGCACACAGACTCAGTAAAGACAAGGTGGACGGATGCAGCAGGTCGTCTTTATTGCTGTTGCATCACAGCGACACACGATGGAGCTACAGAAGCCTTCAGTGGAGACGAGAACAAACACCACGCAGGCAGAGGACCGACACAAACACAAGAAAAACTCTTTATGGCACTTCAGTTTCTACTAGAGTCATATTGCTTTAAAACACGACTTATCAATCCTCACCGCTGTTCATTAAACTATAGCTTCACCGCAATTAAATATCAAATATATTATTTAACTGGTATATTCACGTTATTGCCAACATCAAACATAGCTAACATCAGATATATGTGTTATTGATAGATTATTCTGTTCAACAGTACAAACGTTTCAGAAAATAACAGTCCGAGTTTGGCGAGAGTATCTGAGGAGAGCGAGCTTCCAGACATGCACAGGGATTTACGGGCGGTGCCGAAGCAGGGTTTCTATTGGATGAGCTGGATAACTGCCAATCACACATGCATCTCTTCTCTACGACACACAAGCTGCAGCCCTGTTCAGATCCATGTTTTACACACACACACACACACACACACACACACACACACACACACACACAGGAAGTAGGAAGCCTTTAACCCGGCCTTACTCATCACTGATCTGGTTGACTGATTCTGCTGCTGTCAGAACGAAGGACTCGTGGTCTGACCCGCCGGGTTCACGCCGACCTGGACTAAACCAGGCTGCTGCTGCCTGACTTGAACTTTATCAGAACGTATTTATTAAAACTAATGGGGTGTGAGGTCACTTTAACAACCCTGGTGGTGATGAAGCACACCTGTGTGTGATGTGTTTGGTTTCTATTTACTAGATCTTAGATCCAGTACTGAAGAGGTTGCTGTGGCCACCAGGGGGCGCTAAAATCCTTCCACTAGGAGTTCACAGAAATAATCAACCCAAACGGTCCTGGACCTGGTGGTGTGTGTGTGTGGGGTAGGGTTCTCTGCTCCAACACACCTGTAATTAATCAGCAGCTGATTAACAGGCTTTTGCAGAGCTTTGTGAGCTGCTGAACAGGTCATTCAGGCAGCGAGTCAGGTGTGTTGGAGCAGGGAAACAACTAAAACATGTTGGATAGTGGCTTGTTATCTCTGCTCTAAAGGGTGGTGTTTATAGGATTATTTTAAACGTGATATCAATAAAAATGGACTGACTACATTGATTGTTTGTTGCCTTGTGAACATTCATAGTTTACGTAACGGTTTCCTCTCTTTTTCATCTCTCCATCACATCTTTGCATCTCCTCTCCTCCCCTTCCTCCACTCCACATTTCTCTTCATTTTTCCATCAATCGTTAGTGCTGGCTGGCCAGAGGCTGAGGCAGCACTCTGTCGAATTATCCTGCTGCTGAATGAATTACTCTGCCTCCATTAGACTAACAAGAAACCAGGAGGACATAGGAGACGGGGGAGGGAGGGGGGAGGAGAAGGACAAGGATGGAAGAAGAGATAAACACAATGATGAGGGAAAGTCAGAGGAGTTGGAAGGAAGAAGGGATGAAGGCGGACTATAAAGGCAAAGGGGAGATGAGGTAGGAGAAGAGAAATTAAGGAGGAAAGAGAGACTGGACGGAAAAGACGACTGCTGGAGTGGAACAGAGAGGATTAAAGAGCAATGAAAGAGGTGGACAACAGAGGCTGCACAGGAGGGGATGGAGAAAGAGACATGCTTGAAATCAGGAGAACGGAGAGGAGAGAGAGGACGGAATAAAAGAGGTAGAACAATAAATACACGCTGAGGAGGGAGGGACAGACGAGGAAGGCAAATGAAGGGAATGGAATGAACAAAATGCTGCCTCACATCACACACGTTATTAACATGTAATAACATATAGCGCAGTATGGGGGCCAAAATTAAGACTACTGCCCAGCAGCAGGAGGCTATATAAATTCTGAAGCAAACTACTGATCTGATTAATGATAAGCTGGCGCCGGTAACTGAGAGGCTGGCGCTGCTTACTGAGGAATAGCACCTTTACCGGCGTTACTACTAGATATGCTAGGGACTAGCAGCCCTCGGCTGGTCACTGACTGGTTCACATACTCCCTCTGCTGTCTATTAGCATGGATAGGGTAACGTTAGCCTGGACGGGCTGGTGTTAGCATTGGAGAGGCTAGCCATTAGCGTGCCTAGGCATGCCACTAGCTGGATTTCCTACCCCCTTGACGGACCTTAAAGAGCAAGTCACCCCCAAATCAACTGTTTTTCTCTGATAAACTATATAAATGCGTGTCTAATCGTGCTGCAGACACGTGTAGTCAGTAGTTTTGCACTTTAGTGCATTTTAGTTAAAATTTAAAATTTCTGCCTGAAACTGTCAGTGTTGTACCGTTGTCAGGTAAAAACTCTTCACTGCATTTGAATTTAAATCTGACATCGCCATTGGCTAAGAGGTATGCTATGATGTAAACTGGTAGATTATGATGTCACAATGTCGTGAGTGTGTGTATTTGTAGTGGCTCCACCCTCTCCGTCTGCTAGGCAACAGCGTTTGTTGCATTTTTCAAACATGAAGTGGGAGTGAAGTACGCTTCTTGTAAGGGGTGACTTGCTCTTTAAGCATGGATAGGCTGGCATTAGCACAGGAGAGGCTAGCCATTAGCATGTCTCGGAGAGTCACTATCAGCTAGTGGCCAGCCTAGGCACGCTAATGGTTAGCCTCTCCAATGCTATTGTCAGCCTATTCATGCTAATGGTCCGTCAAGGGGGTAGGAAATCCAGCTAGTGGCCAGCCTAGGCATGCTAATGTCTAGCCTCTCCAATGCTAACACCAGCCCGTCCAGGCTAACGCTACCCTATCCATGCTAATAGAGGGAGTGTGTGAACCAGTCAATGACCAGCCGAGGGCTGCTAGTCCCTAGCATATCTAGTAGTAACGCCGGTAAAGGTGCTATTCCTCAGTAAGCAGCGCCAGCCTCTCAGTTACCGGCGCCAGCTTATCATCAATCAGGTCGGTAGTTTGCTTCAGAATTTATATATCCTCCTGCTGCTGGGCAGTAGTCTTAATTTTGGCCCCCATACCGCGCCATAATAACATGCATCCAAGGACACACACACACACACACACACACACACACACACACACACACACACACACACACACACACACACACACAGATCAGTGGCCCTATAAAGACATCCAGAACGAAAATAATGTGAGTCTAAAGAAAACCTGATATGTTTGAGTCCTCAGAAAACCGAACAACAAAACGAGTCAACCAGCAGCACACACACACATGCACGCACACACGCACACACTGGTGAAACCATAACATTTTAATAAATAATATAAATAATAAATATAAATAAATAGGAGCAGTGCTGGAACGTGTGTGTTGAGTCAGACTTCATGGAGGGAAATGACCAGCAGATGTTGTCTCAGGACTCGGTTGCCTTTGCTCTGGATCTTAGAGGTCGGTGCAGCGCTCCTGCTTGCTGTAGTGGTCAAACTGACTCTTCCAGTGCATCATGTAGGAGGACCAGCGGTGGAACTCCACCTTCCACTGACGCTCCGCCTCGTCTATGTTACCTGAGTGACGGAGAACATGGAGAAACCGTGAGGGTCAGAAGACCGTCAGAATTACCCTGACCTAGGGCTGGGCGATATGACGATTTTAGACCGTTTTACGATCTACACATCTGACGGTCTGTCATTTTTGAGAGACCGTTTTATCACGATTCACAGCTCTGCTGTTGAATTTCTGCCTCTGAATGAAAAGGGAACTTACCTCAGGCGAATGACACGCCTTTGTTTGACTCTTAACCAATCAGAGTGAGTCATAGTAATATATTAGTGCCCCGCTTGTTTTCACCTGTGTGTGAACAAACATGGCTTCGCCGCGGCTGAGCGACAACGAGGTTTTCGTTCCGAAGAGGAACGCAGGGTTTCCTTAGCGTGCGGCGCTAACAACTTAGCGACGTGACATGTCTCGGAGAAAGCGTAAAAACACGTTGGACGCTTCTTCTGAAGCAGGAAAATAACACCGCTTCTTAAGCAGAGCACGACGTCGCCTCGGCTCGTCCACCCTCTGCCGAGCCGGTGTCGGTACCGACTGAGCTCGGTCACTGGGTCGATGGAGCTGCCCCGTGACTGCCTGATGGAAAACCAGCGGGTTTCATCAGACTCGTAGTTTCTTGTTTTTGCTGTATTTTACCGCTCCCTCCTGCAGTCTTCCCCTATTACAATTTAAAATGATTCCGTAAATTCGTGTATCAATAGAAACAATCTCTGCCTCTGCCAGCTGCAGCAAATGTAGTCTCCAAATAATAAATAAGAGGTGCATTCATCTGTGTATCTCCTTTGATCTGCATTAGTGATGTTTTCAGCACCAGAACAGTGAAGCAAAGAAAGATTCCTGAGTTTGTTAGTAATTTTATTTATTAGGTGCATCTAACTAGTTCTATTTTTCTCTGAAATGAGATCAAATCAGTGCTTCTATGGGTTGTCTCCACTCTGCACTGGAAAATTTTACTTTATTTAGAGACTTGTTGCAGAAAATATTCAGAATGCGCAGTTTTTTGCTACCACAAGAGATCTCTGGTCCAGCCGCACATCAGAGCCGTATTTGAGCTTAACTATCCACTACATGAGCAACTGGGAGCTACATAGTATTTTGAACAAGTTAATGTTTGCACAATACGTTTGCAATTGACATGTTTGCACTTTAAATATGTTTACGATTTTAATTTATGTTAAGTTACTTGAAAAACGAGAAAAACTGATTTTTGTAATTGTTTCTCTCAGGGCTTTTATCATCTCTGGTGTGAGTTTAAAATATAAGTGTGTTAGCACTGTGCTGATTATCCCTAATATGAATAAATGTTTATTTATTCAATGTTTCTCTTCTTTAATACGCAATTGAAGTTATGCTATTCATGGATAAAAAATCGTGATAAAATCGAAATCGTGATAAAATATTGGAAAAATCGTGATATTCTATTTTTGCCATATCGCCCAGCCCTACCCTGACCCCTCTGAGAGGTGAGAACATCATCATCTGACTGCTTCAACCAGTCAAAGACAGACCAGGTCTGGATTCATGTTAATGCCCCCCCCCCCCCCCCCCCCCCCCCCACCAGGGATTATGTTGGATTTTTCGAAATCCACAAAAGTGGTAGTCTTAACTACAGGTGAGACTGTTATATAACGTAGGCAATGTCTTTGTCTTTGCTAAGCCCCGCCCCCAAGTGTCCCACATCTGACTTGACTCTCAGCGTTAGCCAACTGCGTTGGACATCCTCTTATGTACGGATGTCAATCACAGAGTGTGTGTGAGCATCGGACGCACGAGTTAGGGACCTGTCTCACGGACAGCAGGCGGTGAGAATAATAACTTCTCTGTTGGCCGGCTACAGGCGCTCGCTCATGAACGAGGGTGTTGTTTGGGGACATGGGGGAAACGGCATAAGGTGTTATACACTTTTCTGACTCTAGATGGTGCCCTCAGAAAAAAAAAATCCTCATTTCTGGTTTAAATTGTATTTCGTTTATACATATTAGGAATAATTGGCCCTAAATGAGGGAACCAGCAGATTAAAGTCCAACTAGTCATCATCATACACTGGTGAAGTTCACCCATCCCCAGGAGGGGAGCAGCAGCTGCACTTAGGAACTATTTGGTGGTTTAGCCCCCTGATCCAACCCCTTAAATTTGAGTGACAAGCAGGGAAGCATTGGGTCCCATTTTTAAAGTCTTCGGTATGATTTGAGGAATTGGGATTTGAACCCTGATCTCCCAATCCCAGGGTAGACGCACTACCACCAGGCCCCTTAGAAGATTAGAAACTAGAATGAAGAATCAAGTCAATAACGACCCCCCACTCTGCAGATGACTTGAGATACGTTTAACTCCTCCACCTGGAGCAGAAGCTCATTCCCAAATCAGAGTGAGCTGTCCAACCTTTCCTGGTTAGGGAGGTGCTGATCGTCCGCCCAGCTGCTGGAGGTCCTGGCTAAAAGGCATCAAAGCAGTCCAGAGTAGTTTGGAGGTGGCGTGTACCTGTGATGTTGAGGAGGCGGGGCAGGAAGCGGTTCCAGAAGGCACACATCTGATTGCGTAAACCTTTGTGAATCTTAAGTGGTTCAGTGTTCAGCCCCACATGCTTCTGCTCACTGGCGGTGAACACAGGCCAGCGCTTCCCTTTGTCTACCACCCAGTCATTAGGGTTTCTGGCAGGAAGCAGAGTGAGACAGAGGAAAGACACAAGAGACATCAGGATGTGCATGCGTCACGTGTTGTGCGTCTGCAGCTTTAGCTTCACCTGCTGGAGTTCAAAACACAACAAGAAATCTCACCAGCAGATAAACAGTTTGTTTGTTTCAGGAAGTCGAAAGTCATAAAACATCAGGACCTCTGACCGCAACAAGAAGAAAACAACATCACATAAACATGGGTGGGATTAATGGGTCCTCAGAAACATCGAGACCAGGAGTATGTCCATCCTGAAGGTAGTGCCGGTCGATAGTGAGGCACCCCCCCACACACACTTACTAGTGGGACGAGTCTCAGATAAGCCATGTGACTCGCTAGACACACAGTTTTCCGCCCTCTCTGTTGTTGGAGCCCAACTTCGGCCGCCTGAGTGACTTGATTAGTTGGCCCAAAGTGGCCCAACCTGACTACAGCAGCTTAGTCAAACATAAAAAGTCTGTTTAAGGCCCAGACGAATTAAAGAACCATTTTAAAGATGCAGACTCAGAAGTGAAAGTCCTTTAATCCACTCACGTGACTTTCAAATGACCCAAATCAGGTGGAAAAGATCTAAGCTCATAAAATAACAAGCATGTCATTTACATTCATCCTGGGGTAGATACCTTCAAATGGTTTAGTTTTCATTTAAACAAGTTCCTCCATTCATCCATCCACCCACCCACCCACTCATCCATCCATCCACCCACCCACCCACTCATCCATCCATCCATCCATCCACCCATCCATCCATCCATCCATCCATCCATCCACCCACACACTCATCCATCCATCCACCCACCCACTCATCCATCCATCCACCCATCCATCCACCCATCCACTCATCCATCCATCCACCCACCCACCCACTCATCCATCCATCCATCCACCCACTCATCCATCCATCCATCCACCCACCCACTCATCCATCCATCCACCCACCCACCCACCCACTCATTCATCCATCCACCCACCCACCCACTCATCCATCCATCCATCCATCCACCCATCCATCCATCCATCCATCCATCCATCCATCCACCCACACACTCATCCATCCATCCACCCACCCACCCACTCATCCATCCATCCACCCACTCATCCATCCATCCATCCACCCACCCACTCATCCATCCACCCACCCACCCACCCACTCATTCATCCATCCACCCACCCACCCACTCATCCATCCATCCATCCATCCACCCATCCATCCATCCATCCATCCATCCATCCATCCATCCACCCACACACTCATCCATCCATCCACCCACCCACTCATCCATCCATCCACCCATCCATCCACCCATCCACTCATCCATCCATCCACCCACCCACCCACTCATCCATCCATCCACCCATCCATCCACCCACTCATCCATCCATCCATCCACCCACCCACCCACACACATCCATCCACCCACCCACCCACTCATCCATCCATCCACCCACCCACCCACTCATCCATCCATCCACCCACCCACTCATCCATCCATCCACCCACTCATTCATCCATCCACCCACCCACTCATCCATCCATCCACCCACTCATCCATCCATCCACCCATCCATCCACCCACTCATCCATCCATCCATCCACCCACCCACACACATCCATCCACCCACCCACCCACTCATCCATCCATCCACCCACCCACCCACTCATCCATCCACCCACCCACTCATCCATCCATCCACCCACCCACTCATCCATCCATCCACCCACTCATTCATCCATCCACCCACCCACTCATCCATCCATCCACCCACCCACTCATCCATCCATCCATCCACCCATCCACCCATCCATCCACCCACCCACTCATCCATCCATCCACCCACCCACTCATCCATCCATCCATCCACCCATCCATTCATCCATCCACCCACCCACTCATCCATCCATCCATCCATCCATCCACCCACTCATCCATCCATCCATCCATCCACCCACCCACACACACACATCCATCCACCCACCCACCCACTCATCCATCCATCCACCCACCCACCCACTCATCCATCCATCCACCCACCCACTCATCCATCCATCCACCCACCCACCCACTCATCCATCCATCCACCCACCCACTCATCCATCCACCCACCCACTCATCCATCCATCCACCCACTCATTCATCCATCCACCCACCCACTCATCCATCCATCCACCCACCCACTCATCCATCCATCCATCCATCCATCCATCCACCCATCCATTCATCCATCCACCCACCCACTCATCCATCCATCCACCCATCCATCCATCCATCCATCCACCCACACACACACTCATCCATCCATCCACCCATCCACTCATCCATCCACCCACCCACTCATCCATCCATCCATCCATCCATCCATCCATCCACCCACACACTCATCCATCCATCCACCCACCCACTCATCCATCCATCCACCCATCCACTCATCCATCCATCCACCCACCCACCCACTCATCCATCCATCCACCCACTCATCCATCCATCCATCCATCCACCCACCCACACACATCCATCCACCCACCCACCCACTCATCCATCCATCCACCCACCCACCCACTCATCCATCCATCCACCCACCCACCCACTCATCCATCCACCCACCCACTCATCCATCCATCTACCCACCCACTCATCCATCCATCCACCCACTCATTCATCCATCCACCCACCCACTCATCCATCCATCCACCCACCCATTCATCCATCCACCCACCCACTCATCCATCCATCCACCCACCCACTCATCCATCCATCCATCCACCCATCCATTCATCCATCCACCCACCCACTCATCCATCCATCCATCCATCCATCCATCCATCCATCCATCCACCCACCCACTCATCCATCCATCCATCCATCCATCCACCCATCCATCCACCCACTCATCCATCCATCCACCCACTCATCCATCCATCCATCCACCCACTCATCCATCCATCCACCCACTCATCCATCCATCCACTCATCCATCCACCCATCCATTCATCCATCCACCCACTCATCCATCCATCTGTCCATCCATCCATCCATCCACCCACTCATCCATCCATCCATCCATCCATCCATCCACCCACCCACTCATCCACCCACCCACTCATCCATCCACCCATCCATCCATCCATCCACCCACTCATCCATCCATCCATCCATCCATCCATCCATCCCCCATCCACTCATCCTCAGCCTGGCGAGGTCATCAACCTGCAGGAGTCAATGTGCTCTGCGCTTCTCCCAAGAACTCCCTCCCACCTGTGGCTACAGTGGCTGAGCGCCGTACATGGCTGCTCTCGCTGGGGAAACAGGACCCCCCCCCCCCCCCTATCGGAGTATCTATGTTGTGTCGTCTGAAGTCTGTTGCTTATCTGCCTGAGGTGTTTTTTTTTTTTTTTTGCAGAGCAAAGCTGCCCTCCTGGTGGGAGAGTAGCTATGAAGTGCCTTTTTTCCCTCCTCCCGAATCAATTCCTCATGTAACCCTCTGATCTCTATTAAGGTAGCGTGACTCAGGGTTGCGAATGACCACAGTCACCAATTCTTGTCATGTGTCTTGCCCATGTATGTCTGATCTCTGAATTGTGTGTACTGAAACTCTAATTTCCCTCTGGGATTAATAAAGTATCTCTGAATTGAATTGAATGTCTTTTGGGATCCTAAGTGATCTCGGGCGCATTATTTGGAATCGTAGGATGTCCAGGGATGATCCCGTCTTTCGCACCTCTGATTGGCTAGAAGGGCTCTACTACAATTGGCTACGCACCTCGTTTCAGGAAGTCCATTCACACTGCAGTTTACAGGTAGCGGGTTAGCATGAGCAGCGCCAAACTTTTAAACACACCAAGTTCGCAGTGTGGAAATATTTTACACTCGAAACGCCGAAAAGCAAAACAACAACGTGCAATGTTTACAAAGCTGTTGTTCCGAGAGGTGGAACCTCCGTCGCAACTTTCAACATGAATAATTTGATCAAACATTTGAAAAAACACCACCCGAGAGAGCATGAGTACTTTTTAACTAGGGGTGTTATTGGATAGTGGTGATTGGTATCAGGGCAATTTAGTTTATGACAGGGGTTGTTTCTTTGATTGTGTATATTGCACTAGTATCTAGTAACCCTGCCTAGAAATTTAATAAGTATTCATTTGAAACATAACAGTTGCATATATTTTTTTTTTCAGGATGGACATTTTGCTGTTTTCTGACCTCATCTCAAGTTACCTTTTGGGACATGGTGCTGTTGGGCTCTTAGTTGTAGGGATTTCTCAAGTACATATACTTGAGTGTGGAGAAGAGTTTATTATAGCCACATAAAATAAACCATAAGATAATAATAATCATAATGATATTAAAGCAAGTAGACCTCTAGTATCGGAATAATATCGGTATCTGCAGATATCTAAATTCAGGTATCGAAATCGGATCGGACGTGAAAAAATGTGGATCGGTGCATCCCTATTCAGTACGATGATATTGCAGCCCCCAGGAAGCGGAGCAAGTTTTCACTGCAGCAGTCCCAGTTTTGGAACGGGAGACAGCCTTGACGGGTGCAGACGTTTGAATTCCAGTTCGTCAGAGACAGATGAAAAACTGCAATTCAAATAACTGCACCCGTAGAGGCTCTCTCCCGTTCTCTTTATTCCTTGTAACCTGGGACTGCTACACATTTATCAGTTCATCCATCCATTCTCTTCTGCTTATCCAGGGTCGGGTCACGTGGGCAGTAGCCTAAGCAGAGAAGTGTAGACTTCCCTCTCCCCAACCACCTGAGAAACACAGTCCCTCCAGGGTGTCCTTGGTCTTCCTTTTGGTGTTCTCCCAGTTGGACGTGCCCGGAAAACCTCACCAGGGAGACGTCCAGGCATCCTAACCAGATGCCCGAGACACCTCAACTGACTCCCGTCGATATGGAAAAGCAGTAGATCTACTCCAAGCCCCTCTCGGATGACCGAGCGAGAGCCCAGCCACCCTACGGAAAAAATAATAATTTCGGCTGCTTGTTTCCGCAATCTCATTCTTCAGTCACTACCTAAAAACTGTGACCATAGGTAGTAAGAACTTAGATCCATCAGTAAACTGAGAGGTTTCCCTTTCGGCTCAGCTCCCTCTTCACCATGAAAGACTGGTACAACACCCACATGTCTGCAGAGACATCACCAATCTGCATCGATCCGCTGATCCATCTTTCCCTCACTCGTAAACAAGAACTCGTAATACTTAAACTCCTCCACTTGAGGCAGGACCTCATCCCTGACTTTCAGAAGGCATTCTACCCTTTTACGATTCAAGACTGTTATGGAAATGTTATGTTTATTATTTCTTGATCATTGATTCAATTAACTGAATGTATTATGTATTACTCTATGCCTGAATATATTCCCATTTTGTTCAGATACACCCACACCTCCTCCGCTTGGCGTTTCCAGAACATGTTTGATTTTGGCCCTCTTTTATGTTGAATTTATTTCACAGTTTTCATTGGTTCACTCAATCCATCCACTCAATCCAAATGTGTTTCACACATTTTTCCTGTACCAGAATGTTTCATCTATCTTGTAATTTCTATTTTGTAATTTGTATTTTGTAATTTGAATTGCTTTTATTGTTGATTTATTCAATATATTTACCTACAACTGTACCATGTTCAGCGCTTTGGGCTTCCTGACAGGGTTGCGGAAGGCGCTTTATAAATAAAGCTTTGATTGACACATTCCTGTGGCCATTCACATACACCAGGGTATCTGCAGGTTTAAGGGAGCCAAATTTAAGACTTTTTAAGACCTTTTTAAGGCCACTTTGACCAAATTTAAGCTATTTTTTTAAATTAAATTTAAGCTATAATTTCCAGCTATTGCCTGGAACCGGTGCTAACCATGTCGCAAACGTGGGATTAGCCATCCGGTTACCATTAATGTTGCACTTCCCCATGGCGCAAGCTCCCTCTAGCTAATGTGCTCATCTAAAAATAGCCCCCTTTCACAACCAACCGAACGTGTACGGTTCCGTTTACGCCAATATCATAGACTAGAAATTCATGAAAATTTTATAGAAATAAAATAATTTTGTTTATTGGGTCTTTGGTCATTTAAGACCTTTGGAAACTGTATTTAAGGATTATTTGTCATTGTTAAGGATTTTTAAGGCCTTAAATTTGGAAAAGCAAATTTAAGACTTTTTAAGGACCTGCAGATACCCTGATACACACACGTTCATTTTTACACACACACACACTCTGTTCTTTTCTTATCTCATGTTATAAATAAACCCTGAGAGCTGAAGCTCGGGGCAGTCGCTCCCAGCTTTTGCCCCTCATTACAATTTGGAGACTTGTCTGGTTTATTTGTCTATTTTTCTCTTGGCTGCAGGTACTGGGTTGTTGATAAATTCCCTAACAAAGACCATGGTCTCAGATTTAGAGGAGCTGATTCTCATCCAAGCTGCTTCACACTCGGTTGAAAACCACTTCAGTGAGAGCTGGAGATCATATTCTGATGAAGCCAACAGGACCACACGATCTGCAAAAAGCAGAGACCCGATCCTCAGGCCACTAAATTGATCCCTTCAACACTTTGGCTGTGCCTAGAAATCCTGTCCAAAAAAGTTATGAACAGAATTGGTGCCAAAGAGCAGCCTTGGAGAAGTCCAACTCTCACTGGGAACGAGCCCGACTTACTGCAGCAATGCGGACCAGGCTCTGACACTGATTGTACAGAGACCAAAAAGTCCGTATCTAGTGGCTATGTTCCCCATATTACCAGAGTACCCCCCCCCCCCCCCCACAGGGAAGACTGGTGGGACTCAGTTCAATTGAATTCAAATTTAATTCAAATTCAAAGATACTTTATTAATCCCAGAGGGAAATTAGAGTTTCAGTACACACAATTCAGAGATCAGACATACATGGCAAGACACATGACAAGAATTGGTGACTGTGGTCATTCACAACCCTGAGTCGCGCTACCTTAATAGAGATCAGAGGGTTACATGAGGATTGGTTCAGGTGGAGGGGAAAAAAGGCACTTCAGAGTTACCCTCCACAGGGGGGGGGGGGGCAGCTTTGCTCTGCAAAAAACACCTCAGACAGAAATGCAACAGACTTCAGACATCACACAACATAACTGTCCACCAGGTGGGGAGGTAGGTTCGGGACTCTCCTCACATCAGTGCCTGCAGCCATGATAAGCAGCGCACGTCACCTCAGTCTGGACAGGGGAGGGAGGTCATTGGGTTTAGAGGGCACAGTGACTCCTGGAACGATTCGGCGGCCTTCACAGCCCGCAGTCCCGCCCAGGCTGGGATAGGGAGACAGAGTTGCCATAGCGGCGGCAGCATTCCACATTTCTTCTGAGGGGGAGTATTCGTTGCAGCCTCACAGGCTCTAGGGCAGGGGTGTCAAATATGCGGCCCGCGGGCCGAATCCGGCCCGCAAGCAATTTAAGTCCAGCCCGCGAGATGGTTGTGTAAACTTTATTTTCATACTTTACAATGTAGAGTGAAAATAAACTTATCACTGTGAGCAAGTTTTCTCTGTAATGAGTATGAATCCCATCCTGAAGTTGGCCGCCACTCAGGATGTGACTTCTGATATTGATGTGCTGGTGAAAGCTAAAAGATGTAAAGTAAAATGAGTCAAATATACTTTTAAGTGCTGCATGAAACTGATCTTGCCATGTGATCTGTAAGCTCTTTGAATCACTAAGGAAAGTTTTTTTTACTTGTTGATTTTTTTTATTTTTTTCAAATTTTCAACTTCAGGTGTTGTACTTGTACTACACTGTCCTCAGGCTCCAGCCTTGTTTTATATTGATTGTATTAAAACAAAGAAAACAATCTGAAGTTTTTTTTTAATTACCGGTCCGGCCCACTTAGGACTAGATTTCCCTCAATGTGGCCCCTGAGCTAAAATGAGTTTGACACCTCTGCTCTAGGGCACCAGATTCAGATTAGAAATTGTTTTGGGGCCAGACAGAGATAATTTCCTCTCTGTCGTAAAGTTCTGTTGGTCCTCAACCTCTCAAAATCCCAATAATGGCGTAAATAAATCTATCCCAATCCGTGCTGATTCGTCCACTCGCTCCTTGATGGCATCCATCAAGGAGCGAGTGGAATCTGATACTCCATCTTGAAAACAAACTTCTTTCCCTTTTGCTTTTCCCCTCAGGCATCACCACTGCTAATCACCTGTCTCCATTTATTCCTAGTATGCTACCTTAAAACACCCGGTTCAAAACTCCCAGTTCACTCAAGCCGCCTAGACAGAAACACAGAGCCAACCTTAACTGACAGATGTGCTAAAAAGGAAAGAGAACTTGCCTACAGACAGTAAAAATGTCATAGTTAAAATATCAGGATTTATCACCCTGGATGATCTGTGGACGTCTCCTGGAGCTGCAGTATGAGCTACCTTCTTGTCGCTACTTTGCACACGCAGCTCTACAGGTGATGTGTAGGGAAAAGCCTGTCAGCCGTGACGTGCCTGCCCTCTTACGGTAAAACACATTGCTCATTACAGCCATGTGCTGAGGAGGCAAATGCTGTGAATTAACAGCGATGAGGCTAGTTTGAAATATGTTCGTCATGTTAACGTGTTTCTTATCAATACTCCGATACTTGAAAAATGTTAAGGACAACTTGCTAAGCATTTAAGCTTTCTCCCTCTCCTGACAATAACATTAAACTTTCCTTGACATTGAATGTGCTACTACTAGTTTACCCGTTTAATTATAGATTCACTAGGACGGCTGCTTATACTGAGCCAGGATCCTCTGGAGGTTTCTTCCTGTTAAAAGGGAGTTTTCCTCTCCACTGTCGCTAAATGCTTGCTTAGTATGAGGATCGCTGTAAAGTCACTGACTGGTGTCGTGCAATTTGCTGGGTTCCTTACATAGGAAACTTTTTTCTGATTGGCTTAATGACCTGGATTGGAATGTTTACCGTGTGAAGTGCCTTGAGACGACTCTTGTTGTGATTTGGCGCTATATAAATAAACTTGAATTGAATTGTTGATGTGTTCTCCCTTTCTCTTTACATTTCGTGCATTGTAGCAGTATTGATTGGGACTTATCAGCAGATACTCAACTGACTCAGAGATAAACACGTCATTGTGACATCCTTATTTAAAACCATCAGCTCTGTCTCTGAACTGGAGAGGTCTGGTGGATGTTAGCTTTGTAGTAATTACACAATCTCTAACCAATCAGATGTCTTCAGCAAAATATTTTGAATTCCTCAGTTTTACACTAGCTGATGTTCATTAGGAGTTAAAGCAGAAGGTTCTCACCCCGTTCGTGCGAAGTTAGCCCAGTACTTCATCATACGCCGACTGAGTCTCTCCTCCTCAAAGGTGTAGTTAAATCTCCTCTCCAGGGGCAGTCCAAACACAAACTCTATCTCGTAGCCGTGGATCACACCCATCCACTCTGGCCAAGCTAGGTTAGAGGCCCGGTGATCAAAAAGGTACAGGTAGACTCCTCCTTCGGGACCAACGGAACAAAGGTTCAGAACAAATAAAGTACTTCTACACTCAGTTGTATTTTAATCACACATGACTGACATGTTTGTAGTACATTCAAATATCTATCTGAAAGAACAAAGTAGAAGAGGTCGGTTTGAACGGGCATGTTGCCAATGGACACAAAGTCACGTGACCACATCGAGTCAGACATTGATCATTAGAATATGGGACAGCAGTAGCTCAGGAGGCACAGCGGGTTGTCCAGTAATCTGATGGTTGAAGGTTAGAGCCCAGCTCTCGGTAGAGAATGCTGACGCTGTGTCCTCAAGCAAGACACCTCGCCTGCTGGTGGTGGTCAGAGGGACTGTTGGCGCCTGTGTCAGGCAGCCTTGTCTCCACCAGTGCGCCCCAGGGCGTCTAAGGCTACATCATCACCAGCGTGTGGATGACAGATTGTGTTGTGAAGCGCCTTAGGGGGCTGTAGAATAATACCCGCTCCCTCTCACCTTGTGAGTTTCCTGCATTGTTCATCAGCCCAAACCCAGATCCTCCCATGGCCTTTAAGGCGTGGTGCTGAGAGTAAGTGCGAGCAAAGTGGGCCAGTGGGCAGATCACGTTGTGGTCACCCACAATGTCGTCCATGGCGTCACGGTTTTTCAACCCGTTGTTCTCGTCCATCCAGTCCGTGTACTGCAACACAACAGCCTCCAGGCCAATTTCATTAGCATGTGGTACGCTCATCTTCACACCTGGAGGAATCAAAGTAATCCAAAGGCTAGGTACAACAGAACCAATACCACAGAACTAATACCACAGTAGTAATACCAAAGTACTAATACCACAGAACTAATACTACAGTAGTAATATCACAGAACTAATGCCACAGAACGAATACCACAGAACTAATACCACATAACTAATACCACAGTAGTAATACCAAAGTACTAATACCACAGAACTAATACTACAGTAGTAATATCACAGAACTAATACCACAGAACTAATACTACAGTGGTAATACCACAGAACGAATACCACAGAACTAATACCACAGTAGTAATACTAAAGTACTAATACCACAGAACTAATACCACAGTAGTGATACCAAAGCACTAATACCACAGAACTAATACCACAGAACTAATACTACAGAACTAATACCACAGAACTAATACCACATAACTAATACTACAGTAGTAATATCACAGAACTAATACCACAGAACTAATACTACAGAACTAATACCACAGTAGTAATACCAAAGTACTAATACCACAGAACGAATACCACAGAACTAATACCACAGTAGTAATACCAAAGTACTAATACCACAGAACTAATACCACATAACTAATACTACAGTGGTAATACCACAGAACTAATACTACAGAACTAATACCACAGAGCTAATACCACAGTAGTAATACCAAAGTACTAATACCACAGAACGAATACCACAGAACTAATACTACAGAACTAATACCACAGAGCTAATACCACAGTAGTAATACCAAAGTACTAATACCACAGAACTAATACCACATAACTAATACCACAGTAGTAATACCAAAGTACTAATACCACAGAACTAATACTACATAACTAATACCACAGCACTAATACTACAATAGTATTTCCACAGAACTAATACCACAGTAGTAATACCACAGAACTAATACTACAATAGTATTTCCACAGAACTAATACCACAGAACTAATACTACAGAACTAATACCACAGAACTAATACCACAGTAGTAATACCAAAGTACTAATACCACAGAACTAATACTACAGTAGTAATATCACAGAACTAATGCCACAGAACGAATACCACAGAACTAATACCACATAACTAATACCACAGTAGTAATACCAAAGTACTAATACCACAGAACTAATACTACAGTAGTAATATCACAGAACTAATACCACAGAACTAATACTACAGTGGTAATACCACAGAACGAATACCACAGAACTAATACCACAGTAGTAATACTAAAGTACTAATACCACAGAACTAATACCACAGTAGTGATACCAAAGCACTAATACCACAGAACTAATACCACAGAACTAATACTACAGAACTAATACCACAGAACTAATACCACATAACTAATACTACAGTAGTAATATCACAGAACTAATACCACAGAACTAATACTACAGAACTAATACCACAGTAGTAATACCAAAGTACTAATACCACAGAACGAATACCACAGAACTAATACCACATAACTAATACCACAGTAGTAATACCAAAGTACTAATACCACAGAACTAATACCACATAACTAATACTACAGTGGTAATACCACAGAACTAATACTACAGAACTAATACCACAGAGCTAATACCACAGTAGTAATACCAAAGTACTAATACCACAGAACGAATACCACAGAACTAATACTACAGAACTAATACCACAGAACTAATACCACACTAGTAATACCAAAGTACTAACACCACAGAACTAATACTACAGTAGTAATATCACAGAACTAATACCACAGAACTAATACTACAGTGGTAATACCACAGAACGAATACCACAGAACTAATACTACAGAACTAATGCCACAGTAGTAATATCACAGAACTAATACTACAGAACTAATACTACAGTGGTAATACCACAGAACTAATGCCACAGTACTTATACAACAGAACTAATACCACAGAACTAATACTACAGTAGGAATACTACAGAACTAATATCACAGAACTAATAACATAATAGTAATACCACAGAACTAATAACATAGTAGTAATACCACATAACTAATACCACAGTAGTAATACCAAAGTACTAATACCACATAACTAATACTACAGTACTAATAACATAGTAGTAATACCACAGAACTAATACTACAGAACTAATAACATAGTAGTAATACCACAGAACTAATACTACAGTGGTAATACCACAGAACTAATACCATAGTAGTAATACCAAAGTACTAATACCACAGAACTAATACTACAGTACTAATAACATAGTAGTAATACCACAGAACTAATACTACAGAACTAATACCACAGCACTAATACTACAATAGTATTTCCACAGAACTAATACCACAGAACTAATACCACAGTAGTAATACCACAGAACTAATACTACAATAGTATTTCCACAGAACTAATACCACAGAACTAATACTACAGAACTAATACCACAGAACTAATACCACAGAACTAATACCACAGAACTAATACTACAATAGTATTTCCACAGAACTAATACCACAGAACTAATACTACAGAACTAATACCACAGAACTAATACCACAGTAGTAATACCACAAAACTAATACCACAGAACTAATACCACAGAACTAATACTACAGAACTAATACCACAGAACTAATACTACAGAACTAATACCACAGAACTAATACTACAGAACTAATACCACAGAACTAATACTACAGAACTAATACCACAGAACTAATACTACAGAACTAATACTACAGAACTAATAACATAGTAGTAATACCACAGAACTAATACTACAGTGGTAATACCACAGAACTAATACCATAGTAGTAATACCAAAGTACTAATACCACAGAACTAATACTACAGTACTAATAACATAGTAGTAATACCACAGAACTAATACTACAGAACTAATACCACAGCACTAATACTACAATAGTATTTCCACAGAACTAATACCACAGAACTAATACCACAGTAGTAATACCACAGAACTAATACTACAATAGTATTTCCACAGAACTAATACCACAGAACTAATACTACAGAACTAATACCACAGAACTAATACCACAGAACTAATACCACAGAACTAATACCACAGAACTAATACTACAATAGTATTTCCACAGAACTAATACCACAGAACTAATACTACAGAACTAATACCACAGAACTAATACCACAGTAGTAATACCACAAAACTAATACCACAGAACTAATACCACAGAACTAATACTACAGAACTAATACCACAGAACTAATACTACAGAACTAATACCACAGAACTAATACTACAGAACTAATACCACAGAACTAATACTACAGAACTAATACCACAGAACTAATACCACAGAACTAATACTACAGAACTAATACCACAGAACTAATACTACAGAACTAATACCACAGAACTAATACTACAGAACTAATACCACAGAACTAATACCACAGAACTAATACCACAGAACTAATACTACAGAACTAATACCACAGAACTAATACCACAGAACTAATACTACAGAATCCTTTTGTGTGAAGTTCACCTTCCAGAAAGTCTTCTTTGGATATGAGACTTTCATTATCCTTGCTGAATCCTGGTGCTCCGTACAGCAGGAAGTACGAGCCCTCATCCTGGTTGACCCCAAGAAGAATCTGGGTGTCTTTATAATTGCCTGAGTTAATCATGGCCTCAGGAGTGTCAGGCAGAACCTCCCCATCCACAACAGGTACAAAGGAAAAGCGGAAGAGAGAGGACCATGGCAGAACCTGATCAGGATCAGAAAACAAAACAGATGTGTTGATCTTAATGAACATGAAAAACATCCATTACTACACCGTCCACTGCTGAACCCTGGCCACACACACACACGCACGCACGCACGCACGCACGCACACACGCACACTAATGACTTTCAGCTGTATAAACATCAAATAACTATGATACGGACTCAGTAAAAGATATGGTAATTAGCTGTGGCAGCCATCTTGAATGAGGTTGACTCTAAACAGTTTTATTAGACGTTCATGCAACAATTGCTTTCTGAGAGTTTAACTATGATTTGTCCAGTGGCTCAGAAGCTTTTTTAACAGACAGACTGGGAAGCAACAACATGACCGGACACCTTTCAGGGGCAGAAAGCTGTTGACTAACAGATGATGCTTTGGTACCCGAGTACACAACATGGGCCCTAACCCAAACCACTGGAGATTTCTATGTGCTGACTTCTCACATTACCCATTTAAAAACCTTATAAACAATCGCCACAAATCATTGTCAAACCACTTCTGGTGTTAAAGTGAGTATCAGGATTAGTGCCTTCATCAGAAACCTGCCATATTCAGTCCTATACAGTTGGCAAGGGCCCATCTGACTTCTTTACTATTGTTACATAATTACATATAAAATAAAAGTGATTACTATATAGTTGTTTATAAACATTAGACAATAAATAAATGTAGATGTATTTGGCTCAAGCCTGTCTCTAAAAGGCTGAGTGACAAAGCGTAATTACCAGCCATTCTTGGTCAATTAGTTCTTGTGGACTTTTACTACGCAGACAGTCCACCAGTTCTGTGTCATTGCCTCCATTACAACCAACCAGCTTGGCTAAAAGAGTGGCCCGTCTTCTGGCTTCAGCAGGGCTGACTGAGGCCCAGGGGCAGTTGGGCACCCCGCTCTGCAGGATGGCCCTGGTAAACAAAGGTCTGCTGCCTGGAGACAAAAGGTGGAATCCTACTGAAGCTCCACCCGCACTCTCACCAAAGATGGTCACCTGTTTCACAGACAAAACACAACACAGAGCTCTTAATGTTAAAAAGTCTGACTTTAACAAAGACAAGACAATTAAAAATGAGAGTAAAAGACCTGTTTGGGATTTCCACCAAAGAAATGGATGTTGTCTTGCACCCACTGCAGAGCCATCCTTTGGTCCAAGAGACCCACATTTCCAGGAGCCTCAGACGAGCCGTGCAGAGCCAGGAAGCCAAAGGCGCCAATCCGATAGTTCATAGAGACCACAATCACAGTCTCAGTGTGAGCCAGATAGCGACCATCGTACACATCCAGAGAAGATGAACCGCTATAGAACCCTGGAAGTGTTAAAAACCACGTCATCTTAAAGTGACTGTCTTCCAAACGATGTAATGCACAAAGTTAAGCCTTCATTGTTTCTACATTTGAAAGTGCATAAAGAAAGACTGACATCATGTGGTCAAATTTGGGTACTGCAGTCCATGTATTAAAACAAAAAGGTTTTGCTCAGCCATGCTGGTTGCCAGTTACTGATCGGCGCCACAAAATTCTAGATGACAAGCAAAAACGAGTCATACACAGTAAGTTGATAAGTAGATAAATACACTTCACTGGAATATTGAGTTGTTGGTAGTTGAAAAAGTAGATGTTTTTAGAGCCAGCTATTTGTTTCTAATTCACCATTAACATTGTTAGCTCAATGTTAGCTCAATATTAGCCTCTTTACCTGATATAGGAGTCAAACAAAAAGATGCCATGGCTTCTTAAAACTGCTTGAAATAATTATTGAGCAGCTCCTTGTACTGACTGGCTGGAAACACTGACCAGTGTCCAGTTCCAAGTGTCAGCATTTTGTGGTACAGAACTGGCAACCTTGTGGGCTCACATATAATTGGCTATGGAATCAGGAAATAAAGAGGCAGAACAGATTGTAGACTATGGCCCAGTCCCAATACTCGCACTTCCACCCTTGTGCCCTTTATTCCTGTCCAGGGGTACAAGAGCGTAGGAGAGGGTCTCGATTGTGAAGGGCCTCCTATGCACCCTTGATTAGCATTTTTTTTGTTTTACCCATAATCCACTGCAACATGAGAATTTTGAGAAGGCGGAGCAATGTACCCTTCTGAAATTTTTTTTTATATTTTTTTGTTTGAAAGTTGTTAATGAAGATTTTTTTTAAGTAGCACAAACAGTCAATGATGCAATGCTCACTGTCCCAATTCAGCAATTTTCAGTACTACGCACTCAAAGCCTTACGGTACACTTCCTCAAGTGCACTTTGTTGAAGATGTTAGGGTGCAATGTAAGAACTGGGATTGGACCAATGACTACGTCTCTCTTTGGCTTCTTAAGCCACCAGACAGAGGAACACCTTCTCACTCAGGCTGCTGCAGCTCCGCTGTCGAAGGGAAAGATACAGGAAGTCTTTCCTACCATATGCCATCACATTGTACCACAGCAACAACTAAACCTGGTTCATAATATACAGTCACAGTCACTATGTTCTTCATGTTTTATATTTATTTGCCCCACCCTTTTTTATGTTGCTATTGTTTTTTAACTGTTTAACTGTTTAACTGTGTGTCATGCTGCTGCTACACTGGATTATCCTAGCCTGGGGTTAATAAAGTCCATCCATCCATGCATCCATCCATCCATCCATCCATGCATCCATCCATCCATCCATGCATGCATCCATCCATCCATGCATCCATCCATCCATCCATGCATGCATCCATCCATCCATGCATCCAACCATGCATCCATCCATGCATCCATCCATGCATCCATCCATGCATCCATCCATCCATCCATCCATGCATCCAACCATGCATCCATCCATCCATCCATCCATTCATCCATCCATCCATCCATCCATGCATCCAACCATGCATCCAACCATGCATCCATCCATCCATTCATCCATCCATCCATCCATCCATCCATCCATGCATCCATCCATCCATGCATCCATCCATCCATCCATGCATCCATCCATCCATCCATCCATCCATGCATCCATTCATCCATCCATCCATGCATCCATCCATCCATCCATGCATCCATGCATCCATCCATGCATCCATCCATGCATCCATCCATCCATCCATCCATGCATCCATCCATCCATCCATCCATCCATCCATCCATCCATCCATCTAAAAAAGCAGAAAACCTCGTGACCACCCAGCTGGCTGAGAAGGAAATCGTTTTCAATGTTTCCTTCCATCCAATATGATTGAGACACTAGACTGATTTGAGCCTTTCACAGTAAAATTGTTACTTTTAAGGTTGCGGCTTAGCTGGAGGAGCATTTCAGTCCTGCCTCTGCCCAACCTTCGTGGTAAAAGGTCTGCAGCTTTCTGGATCGATCCTGAAGCTGCAACACTACATAAAATGTTTGACTATGTACCACCACACAGCTTCCACTGCTAACACAGTTTTTAGTGTCCGACATACAGCCGTTAAATCAGGGTCCAGCATCGGTCTCAGATTGATAAATTCACACACAGCTTCAATCTGATGAAACAGACGAAAGGCTTTCATCAGGATTAAAGATTAAGTGAGCATCACATAGCACTTTGAGATTTCATTGAAATGTAAGGTGTGTTAGAAATAAAATCTATTATTATCATTTTTATAGCATCAAGTTTGAAATCTTAGCATCAGTTTCACTTGTACTCTGATTCATTTAAGACACACTCATCCACATCCGTGTGAAAAAATCTGACTGGCAGGAAGAACATGAGCTGATTGGCAGCTTCACCAGTTATGTAGTTAAAGAGGACCAGGACCCCACTTAGAGCTGGGTTTGGCTGATTTCATAAACACTGTTTGAAACATCATTTATGAACCCTGTTGGCCTTTTGGTTATAAGCTGTGGTTAAAGGTCCTGGTTCTGTGCAACTTGTATTAGTGGCGGTGTTCAACAATCAATGTTTTAGTTTATAAAGCAGACTGTTGACAGCATGGACGTAATTTTTTTTGGGGGGGATGGGGGGGCATGTCCCCCCCCCCCACTCTTTCCAAAGTCAAGTTTTGACCCCTGCACTTTTTACCATCCAAAAACAATATTACGCTATATTAAATAGACACTGGTTGAGCTCTAGGACCAAGAGGAAAGCAACCGTATGTGTTGAAGCCTGTTTCCCATTAGAGCATACTGTAAAGACCCCCCCCCCCCCGTGCCCCCCCTCACTTCTAAAGTGAAAATTACGTCCATGGTTGACAGGCAAACATCTATTTGCGTGAGTAATGAGTCAAACCTTGTTTAGACAAACTGTCTGCCCACAAATGTCCTCATTAGTGTAATTATGGTCTGTGAAGAAAATTCAGTTCAATTCAAGTTTATTTATAAAGCGCCAAATCATGACAAGTCGTCTCAAGGACCTTCACACAGTAAACATTCCAATACAGGTCAGGTCATTAGGCCAATCAGTAAAAAGTTAGGAACCCAGCAGGTTGCATCGAGTCACTGACTAGTGTCAGAGTCTTTACAGTCAAAGTGGCTTAATGTCTCTATGTAACATTTTATTTACAAAAATCCTCCCGTTCGTTGTAACTGGTGTCAGCAGTGGGACTCCTGTGGTTGAACCTAATAGTAACTCATATTGTCACTAACACGTTGGAATGTACTTATAGACTATGCATCTTGATTCCTCAGCTGCTCAGCCATGTCACCAGTTGGCTCTTCTGTACAACCATCTGACACATGACTTCTTGAGACTAGCTCAGCTCCTGTTTCTAAGTGCATGCTAGAAGGCTGCATGATGTAGCATTGTTTGTGTGTGAACCCTGATGAATCACAGCTCCAAATTTAAAACGTTATAAACTGTTTTTGTGTTTAAGAGATGACAAGATTAATTGTTGGACACAGTTTATTTTTAAGAGTAAGTAGTGACTTCCTACCTCCACCATAGATCCACACCATGACTGTGAGGTTGTGGGGTCTTGGAGAAGAAGGCACCCAGACATTAAGGTACAGGCAGTCCTCACTCATCTCTCTGTTAGGATTCCACATCTCACTGCCCTGGAAGCCAGGAAACGATGTGTCCACAAACTGGTAGCAGGCTTTAGGGTAGGCATTGGCCTCAAACACCCCAGACCATGGACGCTTTGGCTCAGCAGGACGAAAACGACGTTTTCCTACAGGCGCCTCACCAAAAGGGATCCCCAAGAACGCAGTGACGTAGTTTTGTCCTGGGACTGGAATGTGAATGCCTCGAACCCGACCATTTTGTGTGTTTACAATGTCCGTCTCACTCTGAGATGCGCAGTTTGGGATAAAGGACAGGACGAAAATCGCTGAGAAGAAGAGAAGAGTCGAGGGCTGCATGGTGGAGGTAAGAGCCATTGGAGTGGCTGTAGCTGTGGTCGTGATTCCCTCTCAACAGCAAGGGCAGGTCTGCTCTACTTCAGATCTACAGCAGATAGAGAGGCAAACAGAGTAATGTGATTACTAGAGGGATGGAGAGGAGAATCAGAGAGGCAAGAAAAATTCAGATAGGAAGGAGTGAGTCTAGGAGTCATCAGTGACGTTGTGGTGATCGGGGGCCAGTGTTTAGGCTTTCCTTGTTCACGCATTACACCGTACATTTATCCCCATAGCTATGATTCTGGAGTAAAGACCAGTAACAATGATGCAGGTCTGAGCCAAATACACTTCTGTAGCCAGGTTTGTGCTGCTATCTGAAATGTGGTAGAGAGAATACCCGTATCAGTAACTCCTAGCTAGCTGAAAGTAAGGCAACGTGAGCCGTTACCTGACCTGTGTTCGGACAGATGCCTTGTTTTATCAGCTGTAACTAATAAACACTGAAGAGTTCAAATGGTTGATAACCAGCTCAGAGTGAGTGTGTGTGTGTGTGTGTGTGTGTGTGTGTGTGTGTGTGTGTGTGTGTGTGTGTGTGTGTGTGTGTGTGTGTGTGTGTGTGTCACAGAACCATCTTCCTCTGTATTCACCTCTGTGGCCCCGCCCCCAGACAAGCTGACCAATCAGCATATTGAAAGTTCTAATCTGGGTTGTAGCGACACATTTCGTGTTCTTCTGAGTTTTCTGTATGAAAAGACTTTTAGCAGGAGAATGCTACACAAGTCATTGACTGACCCAGACTAGAAGAACCAGACTACACCTGTAAACATGTCCTTAGTGAGGAGAAAAGGGAGGAGTTGGCAGGGCAGGAAGAGAATAAAATCAGGGTACATAATGAACAGACTGAGACGAATGAATGCATTAATGCATCACAGTTAAATCACACGACACGACATTCTCACCAAAACTTTCCACTAATTAACTGAATGTTTCCAACTGGATATTTGCAGATTTCCCATAACTTATCAGACCAGGACTGAGTGGGTGCAGGAACAAGATGGAAGATCTAGAGCTCTTTAGAATCCTATTTCTGGTCAAGGAAGAACAAACTTCAAAGATTGTGTAAGTAGGGCAGTTTTTATAACTCTCCATCCCGAGTCAGTCACAGAGACACCTCAGCTCCAGTACCACGGTTTCAGATCCATCAGACAAGTTGAATCACACTTTGTTCCTCTCTGCAGCGAGGCTCCTTATATGTCCATGTAAATAACACAAACATAAACATCGTTCGTTCAAGACGACAGAATCATCAAACTGACTTATTTTTGGTGCATGACCGGTATTTCCTGCTTTTTAAAAATGTCTTCACTTCTGTACACTGTGTGTGTGTGTGTGTCTGCGTGTGTGTGCGTGCATGCATGCGTGTGTGTGCATGCATGTGTGTGTGTGTGTGTGTGTGCGCACATATATGTGTGTGTGTGCATGTGTGCATGCATGTGCGTGTGTGTGCATGTGTGCATGCATGTATGTGAGTGCGTGTGCATGCGTATGCGTGTGTGCATGTGCATGTGTGCCTGCATGTGTGTGTGTGTGTGTGCCTGTGTGTGCATGCAAGTGCATATGTGTGTGTGTGTGTGTGTGTGTGTGCGTGTGCGTGCGTGCGTGTCTACCCCATTGAGACAGTGTCATGCCCACGGCCAAAATCACACAGATTAAATATCAGGCTTAATAAAGCAAATCATGGAAATCTCATAAATATTAGAACAAATTCAACCGAGCACAAAACTAGAAAAAGTAAATGTGGGTTGTTGAACATTAGGTCTATTTTTTCTAGGACTTTGTTGGTCAAAGACTGGATTTGTGATAATCAGATTTCTTTGCTCTCTCTCACAGAATCCTGGCTGCAGCAAGAGGACTATGTTAGCTTAAATGAGTCGACTCCTTCAAATTATTTAAATCATCACATTGCTCGAAGTACAGGGCGAGGAGGAGGAGTAGCAACCATTTATCATTCAGACCTATGAATCAATCCCTTACCAATTAATAGCTACAGTTCGTTCGAACATCTTATTCTTAGTTTTCCTAATCCAGATTGCAAAACTGTAAAATCACTCTTGTTTGTAGTTTTATATCGTCCACCAGGCCCTTACTCTGAGTTTTTGGATCAGATCTCTGAGTTTTTATCTGATTTGGTGCTAAATACTGATAAGGTCATTGTAGTGGGGGATTTTAATATTCATGTGGACATTGAAAATGATAGCCTCAATTTGGCCTTTAGTAATATCTTAGACTCAATTGGTTTTACTCAAAGAATACATAGCTCCACCCACTCCTGCCATCATACATTAGACCTTGTGCTGACTTATGGCATAGAGTGTAATGAAATAACGATATTTCCACATAATCCAGTCCTCTCGGACCACTTTTTGATAACCTTTGAGTTTTGAGTTCTCGAGACATGAAAGTAAATTTCACTATAGTCGGTCTCTATCTGACAACGCAGTTGCATCTTTTAAATCAACTGTTCCATCTTTACTGTCCTCAGCATCTCAGAGGCATGTAGCAGAGGGCAATATTTTTATTTCTAGCCATTCACAAATTGATGCTATAGTTCATCATGTTAATTCCTCCTTAAATGTGGCATTAGATGATGTTGCCTCTTTAAAAAAGAAGGTAATTAGGGACAGGAAGTTGGATCCCTGGTTTAATTCTCATTTACAAGCCTTAAAACAAAACTCTAGAAAATTGAAGAGAACATGGCGCTCGACACACCAGGAGGAGTCCTACTAATCCTGGAAAAATAGTCTTGTGCTTTATAAAAATAAGCTTCGACAAGCTAGAACTGCTTATTTTTCATCGCTTATTGAAGAGAATAAGAATAATCCAAAATTTATTTTCAGTACAGTTGCCAAACTTACACAGAATCATAGCTCTGGTCCATCTATTCCCTTAGCCCTCAGCAGTAATGACTTCATGGGATTTTTCACAAGTAAAATTAATTCTATTAGAAACAAAATCTTTAGCATCCTCCCTAATGCGATTTCTTCTTCCTCAGTAAGTGAGACAGCATCAGGGGTGACTGTAGAACCTCATCTGTGCTTGAACCGTTTTGATCCAGTTGAGCTTTCAGAGTTATCAAAAATATTAGCTTCATCTAAACCTTCAACTTGCATTTTGGATCCAATCCCAACCAAATTATTTAAAGAAGCATTTCCTTTGGTTACTGCCCCCATTCTAGATATGATCAATCTGTCCTTAGTAAATGGATAAGAACCACAGGATTTTAAGGTTGCTGGAGTCCTGGAGAAAATAGTGGCCATCCAAGTATGTGAGCATTTAAACACTAATGCTATGTTTGAGGAATTTCAGTCTGGTTTTAGAGAGTATCACAGCACTGAAACTGCATTAGTGAAAGTTACAAATGATATTCTCATGGCCTCAGATAAGAATCTTGTGTCTGTTCTAGTCTTGTTAGATCTCAGTGCTGCCTTTGACACAGTTGATCACAATGTTCTTTTAGAAAGACTTGAACATGTTGTAGGGATCAAAGGAGCAGCGCTAGGCTGGTTTAAATCTTACCTGTCTGACAGATTTCATTTTGTAAATGTACATGACAAATCGTCTTCATACTCCAGGGTTACTTGTGGAGTACCACAGGGTTCCGTGCTTGGACCAATTCTTTTTACTAAATATATGCTCCCAATTGGTAAAATCATTAGACGGCACGGGATAAACTTTCACTGTTATGCTGACGATACTCAGTTATATTCATCCATTAACCCTGATGAACCTAATCGGTTAGGTAGATTACAGGCTTGTCTTGATGACATAAAATATTGGATGACTCAAAACTTTTTGCTTTTAAATCAAGACAAGACTGAAGTTCTCATCTTTGGACCTGAAATTGAGAAAAGGAAATTGCTTAGTCAATCGCCTGACCTGAATGGAATTAAATTAGTCTCCGAGAACAAAGTAAGGAACCTTGGTGTTATCTTTGACCAGGACATGTCATTCAAATCCCACGTTAAACAGGCTTGTAGGATTTTCTTTTTCTACCTTCGGAATATTGCTAAGATTAGAAGCATCCTATCCAGGAGTGATGCTGAAAAACTAGTTCATGCATTTATTACATCAAGACTGGATTACTGTAATTAACTACTCTCAGAAAGTCCAAAGAATGTAGTTACAGGTCTTCAGTTTGTCCAAAATGCTGCAGCTAGAGTTCTGATGAGAATTAAAAAGAGAGATCATATCTGTCTTAGCTTCCCTACATAGGCTACCTGTTAAATTCAGAATAGATTTTAAGATCCTTCTTCTCACATAAAACTCTTAATAATCAAGCTCCTTCATACATCAGTGACCTGATTGTTCCATACGTTCCTAACCAAGCACTTCACTCTCAGACTGCAGGTTTACTGGTGGTTCCCAGAATATCTAAAATTAGGATGGGAGGCAGATCTTTTAGTTATCAGGCTCCTTTCTTGTGGAATCAACTCCCAGTTTTAGTCCGTGAGGCAGACACCTTGTCTACTTTTAAGACTAGGCTTAAAACATTTTTATTTGCTAGGGCCTATGGTTACAATCTGATGTTAGCCTAGATCGGGACAAGTGGGGGAGTAGAGGGAGGTGGAGTGTACAGTCGGTAAAGACGACTCTCCCTTGCCCTGCCTCCAACATGCCTCCATCTAAATAGGATAGATTATCCAGAGTTATCTCTGTAGTTATGCTGCTATAGGCTTAGACTGCTGGAGGATACACTGACCACTTTCCACACTCTACTGCTTTCTTCTACAATCTGCTCTTTAACTGTATTATTTCCTGCTATTTCAGCTGTTAACTTTATTTTCTCTCTAAGTGTTTTTCTTCCCAGAAGAAGCTACAATGATGTTCTGCTGAGCTGTGGTAGCCTCATGGAGGGGGCCATTGTCTTGAACACTGTTGCTAACCATTTAATCATTCTCCCTCTCCTGATAATAACATTTTACTTTCCTTGACATTGAATGTGTTTACCCATTTAATTACAGATTCACTAGGATAAATACAATAAAGTTTACCTCTCACCAAATAGAATATTTACTAAGAAATCACAGTGTAACCACAGAAACATTACTTTGTGTGTGTGTGTGTGTGTGTGTGTGTGCGTGCGTGTGTGCGTGCGTGTGTGTGTGTGTGCTATGTCTTCTCCATCCCCAGTGAGTCGTGGAGGATGGCTGCTTATACAGAGCCAGGATCCTCTGGATGTTTCTTCCTGTTAAAAGGGAGTTTTCCTCTCCACTGTCGCTGCATGCTTGCTTAGTATGAGGATTGCTGTAAAGCAATTTACTGGGTTCCTTATATAGGAAACGTTTATCTGATTGGCTTAATGAACTGACCTGTATTTGAATGTTTATTATGTGAAGTGCCTTGAGATGACTCTTGTCGTGATTTGGCGCTATATAAATAAACTTGAATTGAATTGTGTGTGTGCATGTGTGTACGTGCGTGTGCATGTGTGTACGTGTGTGTGTGCATGCGTGTGTGTATGTGCGTGTGAGTGTGTGTGTGCATGCATGCGTGTGTGGGTGTGAGTCAATATTGCATTTTTAGCCAAGAAAATGTTTTACTTTCAGTTCCGTCAACAAAGACAGTGGAAGAGTTGTGTTGCTGTTAGCCAGTCAGATGCTAGATGCCACGAATCTTATGAGTAAGACTCGTAATCCTGCTGTTTTCCACCCCCACTCCTCAGACAAACTTCTACCCCCTAAAACAGGAGCACCAAAGCGTATTCCCCTCTGTAAACAACTCTCAAACATTCATTCACACTAGAGACCACACCTGTGTTAAGCTGATGGGATGATATTGTTGTCCCAATATAGTTCATAACCTTTGAAATGCTGCACCTTTCAGTTGTAGTTGAGTCCAGTTGCTTTGGATTGTTGTTGCTGGGGCTACTGGTCAGTATTTCAGAAACATGGCAGCTGCAGTCCATCATAGAGGAGTCCTTCAGTGGATCAGGATGTCTAATGAATAGGAACATGTGGTGTAAGACGTCTCACACTATTAAAGCATGCCACTGTTTCTGACAGAGGTGGCTAGTCTGGTGAAGCACACCTGTTAGCTCAGTCTTTTAGCATCTCTGTCTCCAGCTGCTTCCTCTGTCCTAAAGCTAGTCTTTTCAGCTGCATGAGAAAAAGACAGTCAAGAGAGATTAGATTAGTGTTTTAATGGATATTTATTATGTTTGTGTAAAGTTTAGTTAAAAGGCCACCGCTTTAATCAGCATTTAGAAGGCCATGCGTAACTGAAGCACTATTTTAAAGGACAGACACTGATCATCTGAGTTTGTGGTCAAACCTCCACCATTGCTTCCACCATTGCTTTTCTCCTGCATGTATTTTATATTTAACTTTATTTGAATATGATTAAAATCTAGTCTGACTTTTGAACCTAATGCTGTGTATCTGCTGAGCTGAAGGTAATATGCTGCACCCCTAGGGACAGTGGGTTATATTGGATTGAGGGATTTGGCGTGGTGGATCTTGGTTTGCGGTCAGCTAGAGCGATTCCTCAGGATGTCTGTGACACTGGATATTTGTACTGTGGTCGTAGGTATTGTGTTTGTGTGAGACGCCACATGACTGAGCTGTAAAACAACATACCGGTATTCTCCAGAGAGCTTGTGCTGTGTGTTGGAGGCTATGTGCAGCTTGTCTGCATCACAGCGATTAAAAGCTTTAAATGATGTTAGTGTTTCTGTGAGAGGGGCGAGCGAGAGAGAGAGGGAGAGCCTATTGATTATTGGTTGTGTAATACTGATATTGCTCATCACCTGTTGTTCCAGTTGTCAGAGATGCAGACATTTTCTTTTGTTTTTAATCTTTTTTTCATTGTTGTTTTTCTTCTTTCTGTGTTTTATGATTTAATTGTTCCTGTTTTAGCTCAAAGTCGTTTTATTATACTGTTTAACTTTAAACACTTCATAAACATTTAATCCTTTCTCAGTTCAACAGGACATCGTGGGCTTTAATAAGATCCTGATCCTGATTTTAAGCTCTTTCTTTATTGGACCGCTCCCTCTGTTTTGATACAACAGAGGTGTAATGCAGACTTCTGCACTAACGAAACATAAACGGGGTGCACATAATATTTTTGGGTTGGTACTCAGGGGAGAGCCTATGGCTGTTGCTTGGTCCTCACATTTTTTAACGCACTTAATTCTTAACCCAACTCACAATAGGAACAAAACAGAGTAATGCGTTGATGATGCAACATATTTTAATTTTGACTGAAAACAACAAGTACAACAGGTACATATAGCCAGCTTAACTTAAACCTTCTAATTTTCAAACAACATGACTGAATTGTCTGACTGTAAAACACAATGTGTAAACAGCTGCTTTTGTGATAACAAAAATCAAATCAAATAAATTTTAAAGCACTTAAAAAATTACTATTTCAGAGCACTGAAGCTCCTCCTTGAACCGTCACCTTATCGTGGTGGAGGAGTTGAGTGCCTTAATGATCCTAGGAGCTATGTTGTCGGGGGCACTTTGTGCCCCTGGTAGGGTCTCCCATGACAAATTGGTCTTAGGTGAAGGGTGAGACAAAGAACGGTTCAAAGGATCTTTCATGAATGTAAATTCAAAAAGTCGGAGTACCCGGCCCGGAGGGTTACCGGGGTCCCACCCTGGAGCCAAGCCTGGGGTTGGGGCCCGTGAGCGAGCGCCTGGTGGCCGGGCTTTCGCCCACGGGGCCTGGCCGGGCCCAGCCCGAACCGGATACATGGGCTCATCCAACTGTGGACCCACCACCCGCAGGAGGAACATGAAGGGTCCGGTGCAATGTGGATCGGGTGGCAGACTGAGGCGGGAGCCTTGGAGGTCCGATCCCCGGACAAGGAAACTGTTTTTTGGGACATGGAATGTCACCTCGCTGGCGGGGAAGGAGTAGGAGCTTGTGGCAGAGGTTGAGCGGTATCGGCTAGATATAGTCTGACTCACCTTGACACATAGCATTGGCTCGAGAGGGGTTGGACACTCTCCTTTGCTGGAGTTGCTCCGGGTGAGAGGCAGAGGGCTGGGGTTTGCTTTTTGTTAGCCCCAAGACTCTCTGCCTGCGTGTTGGGGTTCACCACGGAGGAAGAGAGGGTAGCTTCCCTGCTCCTTCGGGTTGGGTAATGGGTCCTGACAGTTGCTTGTGCTTATGGGCCAAATATCAGTTCAGAGTACCCACCCTTTCTGGAGTCCCTGGGACGAGTGCTAGATAGTGCTCCATCAGGGGACTCCATTGTCCTGCTGGGGGACTTCAATGCTCACGTGGGCAATGACAGCTTGACCTGGAGGGGTGTGATTGGGAGGAATGGCCTGCCTGATCTGAACTCGAGTGGTGTTTCATTATTGGACTTCTGTGGAAGCCGCAGTCTGGCCACAACGAACACCATGTTCGAACATAAGGATGCCCATCGGTACACTTGGTACCAGGGCAGCCTAGGTCGCAGGTCGATGATAGACTTTGTAGTCGTATAATCTGACCTGTGGCCGTATGTTTTGGACACCCGAGTGAAGAGAGGAGCGAAGCTGTCAACTGATCACCACCTGGTGGTGAGTTGGATCAGATGGCAGATGCCGCGTAGACCTGGCAGACCCAAACGCATAGTGAGGGTCTGCTGGGAATGTCTGGCAGAAGAACCTGTCAAGATGGTCTTCAACTCCCACCTTCGGCAGAGCTTTGACCGCGTCCCGAGAGCAGTGGGGGACATTGACTCCGAGTGGGCCTTGTTCCACTCTGCGATTGTTGAGGCGGCTGTTGCTAGCTGTAGTCTCAAGGTGGCCAGTGCCAGTCGTGGTGGCAACCCCTGTACCCGCTAGTGGACACCAGAGGTTCGGGGAGCTGTCAGGCTGAAGAAGGAGGCCTACAGGGCGTGGCTGGTCTGTGGGTCTCCGGAGGCAGCAGACAGGTACCGGATAGCCAAGCGGGGTGCCGCAGTGGCAGTTGCTGAGGCAAAATCTCGGGCGTGGGAGGAGTTTGGTGAGGCCATGGAGAAAGACTATCGATCGGCTCCAAAGAGGTTCTGGCAAACTGTCCGGCGCCTCAGGAGAGGAAGGCAGCAACTCGCTTACACTGTTTACAGTGGGGATGGGGAGCTGCTGATGTTAACTGGGACTATAGTCGGACGGTGGAAGGAATACTTTGAAGAGCTCCTCAATCCCAACTATGCGCATTCCGGGGAGGAACCAGAGCCAGGAGACCTGGGGATGGACTGTCCGATCTCGGGGGCAGAAGTTGCTGAGTTAGTCAAACAACTACACAGCGGCGGAGCCCCGGGGGCAGATGAGATTCGTCCAGGGAACCTCAAGGCTATGGATGTTGTAGGGCTGTAGTGGTTGACACATCTCTGCAACATTGCGTGGTCATCGGGAGCAGTTCCTGTGGAGTGGCAGACTGGGGTGGTGGTCCCCATCTTTAAGAAGGGTGACCTGCTCAGCCTCCCTGGAAAGGTCTACTCCAAGGTACTGGAGAGGAGGGTCCGATCGATAGTTGAATCTCAGATAGAGGAGGAGCAATGTGGTTTTCGTCCTGGCCGTGGAACTGTGGACCAGCTCTATACCCTTGCAAGGGTGATGGAGGGGGCATGGGAGTTTGCCCAACCAATCCACATGTGTTTTGTGGATTTGGAGAAGGCTTATGACCGAGTCCCCAGGGGCACCCTGTGGGGGATGCTCCAGGAGTATGGGGTGGGTGGCTTTCTCTTAAGGGCCATTCAGTCCCTTTACCAGAGGAGCGTGAGATTGGTCTGCATAGCCGGTAGTAAGTCGGACCTGTTCCCGGTGAGGGTTGGACTCCGCCAGGGCTGCCCTTTGTCACCGGTTCTGTTCATTACCTTTATGGACAGAATTTCTAGGTGCAGCCGTGGTGTGGAGTCTGTCGAGTTTGGTGGCAGGAGAATCTCGTCTCTGCTTTTTGCGGATGATGTGGTTCTCCTAGCTTCATCCAGCTCTGACCTTCAACTCTTGCTGGGTAGGTTTGCGGCCGAGTGTGAAGCGGCTGGGATGAGGATCAGCACCTCCAAATCTGAGACCATGGTTCTCGACCGGAAAAGGGTGGCTTGCCAACTCCGGGTCAGGGGAGAAGTCCTACTTCAAGTGGAGGAGTTTAAGTATCTCGGGGTCTAGTTCACGAGTGAGGGTAGGAGGGATCGGGAAATCGACAGGCAGATTGGTTCGGCGTCTGCAGTGATGCGGACGCTGGGCCGATCTGTCGTGGGGAAGAGGGAGCTGAGCCAGAAAGCCAGGCTCTCGATTTACCGGTCGATCTACGTCCCAATCCTCACCTATGGTCATGAGCTTTGGGTAATGACCGAAAGAACGAGATCGCGGATACAAGCGGCCGAAATGAGTTTCCTCCGTAGGGTGGCCGGGCTCAGCCTTAGAGATAGGGTGAGGAGCTCGGACATTTGGGAGGGACTCGGAGTAGAACCGCTGCTCCTCCGGATCGAAAGGAGTCAGTTGAGGTGGTTTGGGCATCTGGTCAGGATGCCTCCTGGACGCCTCCCTGGGGAGGTGTTTCAGGCATGTCCTGCCGGAACGAGGCACCCGGGTCGACCCAGGACTCGTTGGAGAGGTTACAGCTCCAATCTGGTCCGGGAATGCTTTGGGGTCCTACCAGAGGAGCTGGTGGAGGTGGCCGGGGAGAGGACGGTCTGGAGCTCCCTAGTTGGGATGCTGCCCCCGCGACCCGGACCCGGATAAGCGGAGGAAGATGACGACGAGAGCACTGAAGTTTTTTAAATGGCATAAATGCAGTTTTTATTTCTACAGACTTTCATCATCATCCTCCTCACTATCCTGACCGGCTTCTTCCAGTTCACACACAGCAGAGGACAACTTTCTGATGTTCTCTGCTGTTAGAATGTTTATCAAACGCTGGATGATTGAAGTTTTCAGTGCCTATGTAAAAGGTGCTGTTTTTGTCTGCCAGGGAGGGATTTTCACAGCATAATGTGCACCACATCTCTGTGCGTTCATCGTTTGTTTGAAGCCAGCTGACCTCCTGCAGCCACTTCTTCGCAAAAACTATTTTCTTTTGCGGTTCCGACTCAGTCTGACGTTTTTGGGAGGCGGAGGAACACCAAAATAATTACTTAATTGCTTGCTTCTTGGACATCTTTAAAATGCTCCAG